CTGTATTTCATTTGCTTACATAGATCTGTTGATTGAATACCAATCTTCTCACAATGTTTGAGTTTCCTTGAAACTATAATCTCATACATGATATTTATATCCATAGAAACAATGTGAAATGATATATAATACCTTTTCCTTATAATCAATATATAACAGACATAGTGACATTCTAACAACAGTGCATGTCTGAAATCTACAGGTAAGTACACTGCCAAAGTATGGATATTCTGCTTTCTAAATAGATAATAGATGCTTCATGAATTTAATCTGTGAAGTGTTTGAAATGATACTAGGGAACAACTTTCGTTGAGGATTTTCAACAATTTAAGCTGTGATATGGCTTTTAGAATGCTGTGTTTTGGATCACGATCAGCAATTCTTTTACCTACGTATTGGATGATCATTAAAGACAAACGCCGATTAAACAATTTATGATTCAGATCAAATTTATATATAAATATTTATGACATGTTGCATTTTCCTACTTTCAGAAAAATTATGTGCTCTTCTCAATGTATTGTGTTGGTAATGCAATATACATTTTACTTTCCAATAATCGAATGTTTTGCTTCAGAAATTAAAATAGATTTTAACCGAAGTTTAAATTCCTTGTTTCACTATACATTCAATTGCAAGCTAGGATCTTAACCGAAGTTTAAATTCCTTGTTTCGAATTCACTACACATTCAAGTGCAAGCTAGGAAAAATATCTTACTATCTTATTTTTTTCTAAATGCGTTACTTTATTATGTATAAATAAGATAACACTTCCAATAAAAAAGCCAGAGAAATGATGTTTTTTAAAACAAATGTCTTTGAGACAGACTGGATTTTTTAGCTTTTCTTTCCCCTTGATCTGAAAATAGACTTAAGATATTTTTTTGCACCAACGTTACACGAGATAGCGTTAATTATCAAGCAAATCTACTGGTTCAACAACGAAATTAAAGCTCCTGGTGAAAACATCTTTTTAAGTTTTCATTTGAAATCAGGAGGGTATTTAAATTGTTTAAATGTAAATAAAAGAACAAAAAATATTTACGCAATGGTGATGTAAAATTATTTTGCTTTCAGGAAGCTCTAAACACTGCTCTTTGAAGAGTTCAAATTTCATGGTATTTTTAATACATTTAGAGTGATCTGCCCTTTTGATGTAAAATGGAATAAACGAAACTTAAGGTTTAATGACACAATCTAAGATACATTAGACATTATATAAGACCTAGATAAAGTAACTGAAAACATTGTTTGAATGTATTTTCCCATTGTAACTAAACAACAGTGATTTCTGTTCACGTATACTTGATTGTCTTTGAACATTTTATTGGAGAAATTTGGAGGATGCACCCGATGTTGAAAAAAGAACGAGAAACATTCAATATGTACACCTTTAAATCATAAAATTTTCTCAAAGTCTCAAAATACTTTGCATTAGTATTAAGAGTTTCCTTAATCATTTTTATCTCAGATTTGCATCTTATTTAAGAACTAAAAGACAAGCTAGTTAACTAGGAAATGGACTTGAATGAAATATGAAGAAAATGAACAGTTTTGAAGCTCAAAAATCTTGAAACAATACAGATTGGGAGCGGCACAAACATGGACCTATAAAAATATTAGAGGTGGGAACAGGAAGTATTCCCTGTCGACACGTCACACACGAAGTGTGCTCATTGTCTTTATCGGGCAATAGGATAACTACGTAGAAAATTCTGTGTGAAAATAATAGCCTAATAATTTATATGAAAAACATTCGATTTTACGATAAATTGAATTGATGACAAGGCTATTGTATCTACCATAGAACTTGATAAACGTTGACGAAATAGTTGATATCCTTGCACCATCAACTTATTTGTCAATAGCTTGCCTCATTCTAAAATATATTTGTACGTAGAGCATCAACTGGGAGACATATACTCCATATGCAGGTGATGCTGGGATCTTGCTACATAAATGAGGAAAGTTGACTATAGAAAAGTTGAAGTCATCACGTTTATCATAAAGTTTTGTAGTTATATTACCATTAATGTGATTAAAAGTGATTAAATCCCAAAGGGCTTGATTACGTAAAAAAAAAGTTCATTTCCCATTGAACTTTTTAACAAAGATTATTACTTATATTACATCTCAGCAGAATATTTGAGTGATTGTATCAATCTTTCTTGGCAATAACATAGATTATGTACTATATGAAACAAATTGAAGAGATAAGTATTGAAAAATAGAAAGGTTGAATGTGAAAACTGACTGGAAAATGCCGTAATCTCTCGAATAAACATTTAAATTGACCCTTTTTTTTAAGGGGGCAGGGGTATCCATATGTACGAGGTACAAGTAATACATGTAAATACATGACAAATCATGAGTCTGCTGTTCTTGAGAAGATTTTAGGGATCTTTTTCTTTATGTGCATATATATTCCCATAAGAAAATAAGAATCACCATTGGGGTTCCATCCTACCCGAAAGGGCTATTACTTAAATAAAATTTAATTGGTATTATTCAAGAATATATATTAATATCGATATAAATAATACACATCGTCGCCCTGCTGAACGATTTTTCAAAGTTTTTATTTTTATGTTTTCTCAGATAAGAATTCCATACCTTATGGTTCCACCCTTCCCCGGGAGTTCATGATTCGAAACAAAAAGAAATTTGATTATACACTGGCTGAGAATGCTTGCATATTAATATCACTGATGAATTCCCTGCTGTACTTGAAAAAATGCTAAATACCCTGTTCCCTTATATTTCCTTGTAAATCTTTGATTCCCTCATTTTGGCTTCATCTTATATCCAGAGGCCATGATTTCCTGAGAATTTTTAGCATATTAACATCACTAATCATGGCTCTGCTGTTCTTGAGAAGTTTTTCATCGATTTGTGGTATATACTCATATGTTAGAATTTGTTGTTGGATTGTAGCTCCATCCTAGAACCCGGGGCCACGACTATAACATGAATCTGCAATACCTGAGGATGTTTGCATCCATAATTATACCCCTGCTGTTGTTGAGAAGATTTAAAAACATTTTTCTCTAAATTTTCCTATGTAAAACATTGATTGATATATTTCTATTTAAAAATGCGTTCTCTATTTTTGACCCTTTGGGTGGGGGCATGATTTGAAGAAAATTGGATCTACATTATATATCGATGCTTTGACATAAGTTTCACGTTTTCTGATCCAGTTTTCATAAGAAGATTTTTAAAAAGATGCTAACAATTTTAGTGAATTCTTGAAACCTCTCATTTTAAAAGCTTGGCTTTTATTTGAACAAACGCCGATTCCCCCTTACCCAATGATCCCTAAGAAAAAATACTACAGTTAACTATAGTTACATGTAACTATAGTTAATCAAAGTTCCAAAGTTTTCACTACTATAGTAAATCAAAGTTCAACAAGTTTTCACTTTAGTAAATCAAAGTTCCAGTTTTCACTATAGTAAATCAGGGTTCCAAAGTTTTCATTAAAGTAAATCAAAGTTTCAAAGTTTTTACTATAGTAAATCAAAGTTTCAAAGTTTTTACATATGTACTATAGAGAATCAAAATTCCAAAGTTTTCACTACAGTAAACCAAAGTTTAAAAGTTTTTACTATATTTCATCAAAGTTTCAATGTTTTCACTATACTATATCAAAGTTTCAAAGTTTTAACAATAGTTTATCAACTAATTTAAGTATTTTGATAATTTTTGTCTATTTTGCCTTCTTGTTTTAGAGGGTGGAGGTGGGGTTGGGTGAGGGCTGGGGGTGTTGTACATGACATTTAGATTTACAAATTAGTTCATTCAAAAGCAATATTTACATTTATAAATTAAATAAATACATGTTTAATGAAGTTGATGGAGCAAGGTTTCGTTTGTATATTGTTTAACGTCACTCTCGAGAATTTTTCTCTCAGATGGAGACGCCACCACTTGCCAGTGGAGGGCTGCAAATTTATACCTTTACTCGGCACTCAGGGCCATTGAACAATTAGGTATCTTTTTCATGCCAACACCTACTGCGACACGGGACCTCAGTTTATACAGTCTCATCCGAAGGACCGGTCTCCACGTTCCGCAGTGGATTCGAACCCGCGACATAAGGATCGGCTCCTTACTTCGCGACTCTAGAGCAGACACTCTAACCATTGCGCCACGCGGGCGACTGATGGAGCAAGTATTTTGCTTTAAATCAATCAAAGTTTTACTATAAATTCTAAATCAAAGTTTCAAAGTTCTTACTAAAGTAAATCGAAGTTTTAAAGTTTTTACTAAAGTTAATCAAAGTTCCAAAGTTTTTACTATAGTTAATCAAAGTTTCAAAGTTTTTAGTATAGTAAATCAAAGTATCAAAATTTTTACTTTAGTAAATCAAAGTTTCAAAGTTTTCACTATAATAAATTGAAGTTCCAAAGTTTTCAAAATAGTAAATCTAAGTTTCAAAGTTTTTTTTATAGTTCATCAAAGTTTTCACTATACTATATCAAAGTTTCGAAGTTTTCACAATAGTTTATTAACTTATTTAAGTATTTTAATAATATTTTTTGTCTATTTTGCTGTTTTGTTTTAGAGGGTGAAGGTGGGGTGGGTGGGGGCTGGGGGTGTTGTACACAAAGTTCCAAAGTTTTTACTTTGATACTATAGTTAATTATAGTATAATACAGTAAACAATAGTTAACTATAGTTTACTATAGTATTTTTTTGTTAGGGATATGCTTTGTGGCAATTTAGTTCAATTTGGGAAAGGGGTCTGGAGAAACAATCGAAAAATTACAACACAAGGCACACGGCAGAGAATCCAACGACGAGAATTGAAACATTTCCTGCTTTAGTTCTTCCTGTTGTTGCAATCATAGAGGAAGAATGATTAGTTTTATTATTGTTTCTATTAATACTCAATAACATTTACATACACTCAGGCATTCATAAAATGAAAATACAAGGAACATAAGTAGAACTTGTGTTGAAACTAATGTCTAAGGTTTAATGATGCTTAAATAATATTTCATTCAATTTTTTATTTTTCAACATGGCACGTCATTCAAACTGGTATATTTCATGTCATTTACTTCCAACGTATTAACAATCAATATACAATGTATTTCAATCAGTTTGGTTATATGATAAACAAAAATAAATCAATTTCTCAACTACATCTAAATAAAATATTCTATTATGTCCCAATGTTATCCTCGAGTGGCTGTTAGTACACTAATATCATTGAAAAGTATAATGAACCTTTAATTCACGTCATTAAATATAGTCAAAGCAAAGAATGCATTTTAAAGGTGTTTTATATGGTCGAGTCTAGTGATAATCACAAAAAAATATATCGGAAATAAATAATCCACAGATAAAAAGAGCTGATATGAGAGTGAGTATAAATTGTTCAATGATACATTACATTTAAGCTCAAGTCACTCTATACATTTGCTGCAATGAGCTATAGTTTTACTGCATTGCTACATACATGGCAGTATCACCGGCTTTGTGTTGAACATTAGATTGTTTTGAGTTTGTTCTACGAACACTCTTTTTTGGTTGAGTCATCTTGATGTAGTCATCTACCTGATCATCGTCAGACTCCTCTGATTTTGATTCCACTACCTTTCCATGTCTTTGATTCTAAAAACGCAATTTAAAAAAAACCTGTTTGTTGTGTTTTAAAAGACAAATGTTTTAGACATGAATGTCAAATTCTAATTCTTATATATAAATCATTGTATTCATAACATAAAGCGTTTATTTGTTAGAGAAAATTGTCAGGAAGTTATATTGTGTTTTGGAATGTCTTAATGAAGATATTCGATTACTGAAACAATTGTGACCATGAAATTCATTCATTTATCGGTGATTTTTGCTAAAAGGCTGAATGTAAATCTGTATCAAAACATATCTAAAACTCGAATAAACACACACACACACACACACACACACACACACACACACATATATATATATGCATCAGATTTAATTTTTCATATTATTACGTAGCACGATAGTTTGTTATACCTCGTACAAGTGTGAACTGGAAGATGTATCTGTGACGTCATGTATATAAAAATTAGACGTTGCATTAAATTCTGTAGGTTTTCTGGACAATTCCTGGCCTTCATCAAAATAGTATGTTCCTTTAAATGATCCTGAGTTGTTTTCTGTGGAATTCCTAACAATAAAAATATTATTTTTAGAAAATGATTGGACTAGAAATACCAGAAAATGTTAGAAATCTACATAGTGCTCAGACAGAGGGGTGATATCCTGTTCATAATAACATCTATTCTTTAAAAAAAACACCATTGAATGCAATATAAAGATAACGAACAGTATTCAAGCTCATAAGTCCATTCAAACAATGCAAATCAGGAGCAGAGCAAACACAGAACTCTAAAACGTCAGAGGTGGGATCAGGTTCCATGGAGGAGTGAGCATCTCCTGTCGACCGGTCACATCCACCGTGTGAGGATGAAATAAGTTTGTCGTGGTTTACTTTAACTCAGGTTTGAAAATTAGAATCAAATACAACTTAAAAGTGAAAGGTGAAAGGTATATACATGTACATAAAAATAGCTTTCACAGCGTGTCTTACTTTTGTGCCCCCTTGTGGTATCTGAAGCATACAGCACCAATGATGAGCATTCCAATAAGCATACCACAACCTCCAGATCCGGTGAGAACTAACCAGAAGGTATGATCTGTTAAAGAAAAGTTTTATTAGAATCCACCTGAGTTATGACGTATTTCTAAAAGTACATCATTATGTAACAAGTCTGATTGATAAAGTTCATAGCCAAGGGCAACATATAAAAATACAATATTTATTCTGTATTTATCTCAGAACCTCTATACAAGTCTTGGTTTGTAGAAAAAAAAATGTTGACTCAAAATGATCCTGGATTGCTAAATTGATATGGATTAATTGCATATAATTTTCAGTTTTGCAATGTATTCTTTAAATGGCTTTATTTCATTATTTTAACATCTATTATACTTCACCCTTTTATCAATTATCCAGGTTAAAATTTAGGTCATTGTCATCAAAGAATTCCATAAATTTTATATATTTAATTAGATACCATGACAAATATGCTCTTGAATCCATGCCTGTGTATTGTTATCCATTTTCATTCATCGAACAGAAGATACATGGCTATCACATAAAAAGCACCTTCGTTTAAAAATAAAAATATTATAAACAAAATATTTCGAGACTGATTAATGAAAAAATCATATCGACTTCTTTTTTATACGTTCTTACCAGATTTATGAAGACTTCACTCAATTCACATCTATTTGTTAACGCAATACACGAAACAAGTAAATTTGATACACAGATATTTTAGTTTGAATTTCACTTCCTACAATAAATTGATTTTAGTTTCTTCCTCAATCTTTATTCTAAACATATATTTACGGAAATACTAAGTACTGGTTTTCATTAAATATTTAATGTGCTTGTTTATATATATAATGAAATCATAGCATTATTAAACAAACTGCATAGAACAGAAACATATTTACATTTATAACTCCTTACAAATGATGAAATGGTCCTTGAAAGTATATAGGAAATTTTATAATACTTCATTTTATTCGTTGCTATGTAGTATAGCCCACTTTCTTCAAATGGGCTTCTTGTCTGCAAATTGATTCCAATGAGCTGATTGCGTTTCTTTTTTTACATTGATATCAATTCAGTGGCTACCGATGTTGCTCAGTGAGCTTACAATATCGTTGGTGGTCCTGTTTCTGATATGATATAAAACGATTTGACTAACGTCACCCAGTGCTTTGACATCCGCATCCGGCCCGCCAGATTTCTTTCAGACACTACTTGACGGTAAAATCTTGCAATAACCATGAGATGTCTTTTACTTGCCGGGTTCATTCCCGAAAGACATTTTTGTATTAGTTAGTCTAATTCTAGTAATTTTTAACCAGAGTAAGTTATAATTATTTTCTAAGCAGCCTCTTTTAACGAACACTGTGCCCTACCACGCTCTCAATGGCCGAACGCCGCATACACGATTACGTTTTTATTAGATTTTTTACAGCAAGAACAGAATTACAAACAGAAAATCGAAAATTATTCATCCAAAATGTGTTAGAAGGATTTTCTTGCATTTTCATGGAATGGAAACGGTCACGGTAGCCTAGTGGTAGAGCCTAGTGGTATCTTCGTGATCGGAGGACCCGGGTTCGATTATCGTTCGCCGCGCCGAGTCAAACGTAAGACGTAATCATAGGTAGTGACTGTTCCTTCGCCAAGGCCGGCACTAGAAGTGAAAGTCACGGGTCTTTCGAATGAGACCTTAAAAACCGAGGTCACCTATCACGGTAGGCGTTGGCACGATAAATAACCCTCACTGCTCAATGGTCCTGAGTGCCGAGTATAGGTCTAAATTTGAAGAACTTCACCGGCACACGGTGACGTCTCTATATGAGTGAAAAATTCTCGAACGGGACGTTAAACAATAGGCAATCAATCAATCAATCAATCTAGTGTGTGGAACAGGCAACCATATATTTTCCCGTAACAGGGGTAATATTTTAAATTGAAAATATACCAAAAGTAAGAAACCTTAGAAAAAATTACAAACTCTCTCTTCAATTCGTAACTTTGAGATCCACCTTTATTAAAATCAATCTACAAAGTCTGTATGATGGTAAGTTTACAATGAAGCGCTTCAATCTAATTTAAGAAAAAAAAGCAATATATATATATATATATATATATATATATATATATATATATATATATATAATCCAGTATAATATGATGTTTCAAAGTCCGAAATTTATTGTGTTAATTTCGCATGATGCTGTCAACTGGAGTTGTCAAACATACGAAAATAGTAATTCATATTTAAAAAGATCATCCGAGTATGACCTCCACATCGATTCTGAATGTACGCTTAATAATTGTATCACCTTAAACGAATGCGAGCAACAGATTATACATTTTGACCGCCAATTGTAATTTCCTCCAGATAAATCGCTACTGCGTCAATACACGAGTTGAACCGAGGAATCTTAAAAGGTGAAAGTTTGAAACAAGCATTTTGTGCTGCGTCAAGAACAGAGCAACACCTAGGGACCACTTTACCCAGCGTCTGTCTGTCCGTATGTCGGTTCGCCTGTCACACCCTATATCTTGAGAATTGTAAGAGGTATGGATTAAATATTTTGCATTTCATAGTTTGGTCACGTCTTATATTATAATTGCCATTCTATTAACTTTTTTTAATGCAGGCAAATGCATGAGATATATGATACTAGTAGCAAATAAATGGTTGACACCCTTAGATTTATTTACATCTTTAATGATGCAATAAAGCAGACGACAAATGTGTTCCTTGGAACACTCTACTTCATTGGTGCAATCTAGTTTGAATTTTGATATATGAGGTGATAATGTATATTATTGTTTATAAAGAATATGTATATTTTCTTATTCTTCTCAACGCATTGACTTGGAAAATAATATCAAGCGGAACAAAATAATCCTGAAATTATTTTTTTACCATGTTGTTTTTAAACAATAAAAGAGATTGCAATTTCTTTTTTCCGCTACTTACTTGCTTTTCAAAGTAAAAACACAATCAGTTCAGTGTATATTTTTAATTCATTCAATGCATATCGTATTTCCATCGTTATAGTCCGTTGGGTCATTAAAAATTTCACAATTTCAAAGTTCTTGATGATGGTTCTTTGAACAAATCGTCGGACTTTCGAGGTTTCTGGACTTCGTGGTGCAGGAATCCATATCATCTGAGTCCTCTTCCTGGGTTCTGTGCGACATGGTTACATGTATCTACATTTATATAAAATAATTTGATCTTACATTTACTTGAGGTAAACCACATTTTGACATTAAGATCAGGTAATAATGAATGAAATACGAACTGTTATCAAGCTTAAAAGTCCATTGAAAGAGTATAAAATTAGAGCAGAACAAACACAGACCTCTAAAACATAACAGGGGGATCAAGTCCATGGAGGAGTAAGCATCCCCTGTCGACCGGTCGCACCCGCCGTGTGCTCCTTGTCATGATCGGACAAACGGAAAAATCCGTAGAAAATTCAGTGAAAAAATAATGGCCTAACAATTTATATGAAAAATGTCAGTCAACATTCAACTTTATGATAGAGTGTATTTGCTGACAAAACCACTGTATCGCCCATAAAATTTGCTAAATATTGACTTTTATCGAAACTGTTGTTCTTATTTCATTAATTTGTTTGCCAATAGCGTGCCTCGATCTAGAAATTGTTAGTAGTTAGAGCATGAAACTAACTAAATTTTTTAAAAAAAAATTGATATAGATATATGAAATTCATAATCAGTTTAAAAAATACCTACTTGAACATTTGATTCAATTGATCGGATTTCGTGGTATCTATCAACATCTGTGTGTTCATCATTTTCATCTTCGCAACAGCTATGCGGTGTGCCATTGCCAATTAGGAACACACTCTGTATTTGATCTCGCCTTTTTCTGTTAAATTGGATTGGCAGTATTTATCTTAGCCAGTCATAGTAAGGGCAAAAGAAGTTGAAAAATTATTTTATGGTGTTTGATACTGATAATGAATAAGAGATATTTTGGCTTTAAAAAAGTTTTCATGTTTATTCAATAAATTGAATTATACAAAAATGCGTTTATCTGCACCACCATATGATATTCAAACATAGATGACTGATAAAATAGTGTTACTTGATCTGAAATACATGTAAGCTAAATGTTTTGAACCTCAAACTGATCTTTTAATCTTTTTCTCGGATTGTACGTGTGAACAAAGGGTATTGTTTCTCCGTCCTTCGCACGTCGTGTGTTTGAAAGTAATTGTGTTCTATCACACTCCTTGGCTTTCATAATACTGTTATCTACCAGTTGCTCTGGGTATTTTTGGCTTAATAAATACAATTTTAATTCCTCCAAACGGATATCCCTCGTATTAATATTGCTCACAATGGTACAGATCCTTCTTGCGAGATTATATGGTATGGCCGTTTTAGTATGGTGGGGATGGCACGAACTGAAATGCAGATATTGGTGTGTATCTGTCGGCTTATAGTATATATCCGTATTTAAGCTGGTATTATCTTTTGATATAAGAACATCGAGAAATGGCATTTGCGCATCATCTGTTTCCATCGTGAATTTGAAATCCGAGTTCATTTGGTTTAGTAGATCGTAAAACTCCGATAATTTGTCGACAACATCATCCCATAAGATAAAACAGTCGTCTAAAAATCTTTCCCATTTAGACTGTATATTATTTGCAGTTGCAGTTCACAAGTCTAAAATTATGAAGGACGCCATAGCAAATCAAAATAGTGTATGTATTACGTGTCTTGATCAAGGTGATTTATGCTTCAGACCCATTGTAGGAGGACCAAACTCATCAACACAAAGACTGAGTCACTTATTGGATATACTTTTAAAACCATATTGTCAAAAAGTACCCAGCTTTGTAAGAGACGATCTGGATTTCATAAATCATTTACCTACTCAGATCACCTGTAACACAAAACTTGTCACTTTTGATGTCGTAAGTTTATATACTAATATTCCTACAGAAATAGGATTGAAAGCTGTAAAGTTTTGGATGGAAAATTATCCCGATGTACTAAATGACAGATTCCAACAGAATTTTATTTTAGAAGCACTTAAATTAGTTCTAGAAAACAATTCATTTGCTTTTTCTGACCATCATTACCTTCAAACTAAGGGAACTGCAATGGAGACGAAAGTCGCACCTACCTATGCAACATTAACCTTAGGTTATTTAGAACATAAGTTACATGAACAATTATGTTCGTTGTGGGGAATAGAATTTGCAAATAATATACAGTATAAATGGAAACAGATGATGCGCAAATGCCATTTCTCGATGTTCTTATATCAAAAGATAATACCAGCTTAAATACGGATATATACTATAAGCCGACAGATACACACCAATATCTGCATTTCGGATCGTACCATCCCCACCATACTAAAACGGCCATACCATATAATCTCGCAAGAAGGATCTGTACCATTGTGAGCAATATTAATACGAGGGATATCCGTTTGGAGGAATTAAAATTGTATTTATTGAGCCAAAAGTACCCAGAGCAACTGGTAGATAACAGTATTATGAAAGCCAAGGAGTGTGATAGAACACAATTACTTTCAAACACACGACGTGCGAAGGACGGAGAAACAATACCCTTTGTTCACATGTACAATCCGAGAAACAAAAACATCAATTCAATTGTTTATGAATTAAATAGCTTACTTAGAGAGGATGAACAAACGGAAACTACATACAAAAACTGTCGTTTTATCAGCAGAAAACGTCAGCCCAAAAACCTTAAGAGAATACTTTGTTCCTCCCAATTCGCTGACCATAATTATACAGTGTCAAAGTGTACGGATCCTCGATGCGGCACATGTGACTACATTACAGAAGGGACGAGTTATAATTTTAACGGGCGTGAATTTAAAGTTAATGCCAACATGTCATGTGATACGAAAGATGTCATATACGCCATCACATGTCCTGGATGCAAAGAATATTATATTGGTGAAACTGGCAACAGTCTCTGTGCCCGTGTTCGTGTACATAAGCAACACATCAGTACACCTGAATATAGACAAATCCAGTTAAGTGCACACCTGGAAACTTGTGGAAAAAAACGATTTAACATTTTCCCTTTTTATAAACTCAGATATGCCAGTGATATCCAGAGACGGGAAAAAGAAAAACATTTTATTTGTATTCTAAAGCCAAAACTTAATAGTCTCTTATAAACTACCTATGATTTTCCCGAACTTTTTCATCATCATTGCAGTATTTTATCTATGACGTCGCAATATAGACATAAAACGTTCCGCTTAGTTTAACGTCTTAATCATTGTTACTATGTTACAGTTGTATACATTTTTGTAATGTAAAGCTTCTGAAGATTTTTAATGAAAGCGCTAGCGCTAAAGCTTTACGGAGGATTCTTGTGTTTTCTTTTTATATTTGTTTAATATTGTAATCCGATTACTGAGACTTTATTTCAATTTTGGATATATATATGTATATATATATATATATATATATATATATATATATATATATATATATATATATATATATATATATATATATATATATATATATATATATATATCGATGACGTATTATCAGTAAACATTACTTACTTCCATTCATTCAGTCAACTCGATATATCCCACTGAACTTAAAAGATACCACAGTGTTTGTCACATTTGTTTCATATTTGGATGTTTCACTAACTAAAAATAAGGACCAACTAAAAACAAAATTGTATGACAAACGAGATGATTTCAGCTTTTCCGTCGTCAACTTTCCTTATTTATGTAGTAATATACCGCTATCACTTGAAAATGGTGTGTACATCTCCCAAATTATTCGATGCTCAAAATTAAGCTCCAAGTACGACCAATTTTAAACCGAGACAGACTAATGACAGATAAGTTTATGTTACAGGGATTTCAACAAGCTGTTCAGAGTCAGCATATCGTAAATTCTACGGTTGTTATGATGACCTCGTTGGCAAATATAACCTATCATTGGGTCGTATTTGAGCTGTATTTCATACCAATTGTTAGGCCTTTGTTTTTATATTGAATTTTATTACGAAATGTTCCGTCTACTCGATCATAGGGCTCACGGCGGGTATTCTTACAGGGGATTCTTACTCCTCCCAGGCACCTGATGTCTTCTCTGGAATTTTCAGAGGTTCGTGTTTTATGCCCTTTTCGCATATTTGTATTGTTTATAGATATTTTAAATCGATCACAGTTCTTAATCCTCAGCTTTTTCATGAAAAACGCAAGTTAGCAATCGATTTAACGCTAGATTGTATTTTCTACCAGGGTCACTTTATCGACCATAAAATTTGCTAAACGTTGACGTTAAACGGGACTGCTGAAATCCTTGTATCATCAAATTATGTGTCAATATCTTTTGCCCCTTTTAAAAATTGTTTGTACGTAGAACATGCTCTTGCTTATCGAATCAACATGGAGAAATAAGATTATAATGATATATTGATAGATAAATAAGGGAAGTTGACAATAGAGAAGTTGAAGTCATCACGTTAATCATTAAGTTTGTTGTTAGTTTACCATTTATGACTTAGCAAAATATCCAAATGTAAAACAGATATGTCAAACGCTGTGGTGTCTTTTATTTCTAGTTCGAGTGAATATATCGAATCAATGTAGGAATGGTGATGAATATTGTAAATTCTTAAAACGTTGTCGATTTAATTGAATGTCAAATTAAAGACAAAAGCAATAGATTTCTTCTTTTCATGAAAAAATTTTGAGTAATTTTTGCTTAATATGAATACAAAAATTGGTCCTCTCATATTAGAGCGCAAAAAGTACCCATTTGAGTTCCAACTTTCTTTTTAAGATCTCCAAGTAAGTAACTGTTTAAAGCACTAATAAAAAAAATAATATTGTAATTTGTTTGTAATAAATTGTTAGACATTCAACCTTACCTTGAAGCCTCTTTTCTTGCTTTATTGCCTCTAAACATTAAAAGTACAATTATCATTCCTAACGCAAAGCTAAATAGCCCAACACCAAGTGATACGGAAACAACATCGACTGCAAATTAAAAAATGGTCATTACTTTATGTACTCAAAATATATCACTTTTATATACCGATGCTAGTATTGCATGGAAAGAAACACAAAACATTATAAAAATATTCAATGTACAATATATAGTTAAGGGCAATAACGAACATTTTCACCCCCCCCCCCCAAAAAAAAACCATTAACAACTGTGGGGCAGCTGAGACTGGCAATGGTTTTCGATTGGTGGAATTTTCAATGTGACCCTCTACTACATGGATGTTTTTTTAATATATGCCGAGTGTTTTATACAGATACAAATAACAGTGAACGTGAGTGCATAAAATCTGCGCATCAAGCTTTTTAAAAGATATTTTAATATAATCGCTGTCGAGCAAAACTGACTGTTTCAAGTTCTATCATGCTGAGGGCCGTGGTTTCATCATTCAGAGGATAGTCATGTTTTTTGACAAATGTTTCTTGACTACTCAGATTCAACTTTTAAGCATTGAATCATTATCAAGATGTAGTCTCAAAACTGAAACAGCGTGTGCAAACAAATTGAGTAACGCGCGTTAGCGCGTCATGAAAATTTGTTTGCACACACCGTTACAGCTATGAGTCTACATCTTTCAAAATAATGAGTCAATGTTTATATTAATATTTTTAACTCCTTGACTTGACTACCGTACTAATGTGATTTATTTCAAAATCCCTGTATTATACTTCGGGTAAGTTACAATTAATGGAGGAGCCATTGCAAGAGCTTCTGTTCAAAGTGAGCGTGAATTTTGATTTTACACTTATGCCATTATGACGTTGCACTTGCACGACATTAAACGTTTGTGACGTCAAAATAAAATACTTTTATACTTTAATCTATTTAACCCCACCTCGGCCCACCCGCCCGTTATGATGCTTTGAATGCCCTTACTTTCCACACACTTAATAAAATAATTAAACATAATTTTGTGTATTATTGATATATCATATAATAAATAATATATATAATATAGTTATTAGCAAAATAAATGTGGAATATAAATATATTTACAATGTACATAAGAGGTATTCTAAAGAGAATAACTGCAAGTGATAAAATATAATTCTATCTTCCATTTAATGTAATGTTTAATAAAGAAATCATTGATATTTATAGGGGGTAAATTTTTCGTTCACCTGTGGAGCTATATGTATCTTTGTTCATTTCTCCTTCTGTAAAACTCTCTGTGATTGGAGCAGACGTCAGAGTGACTGTGTTTACGCTCCATGAACGTTTTGCTAAAAGTCACAAATTAACATCGTTTAGACTACTGTTGTGGATTATTGGTCCGTTTTGTATTGATATACAAATATTTTACCTTATTTACTAAGTTCTCAGCTTTTCATTAGCGTATTATTGTAATCTAAACAGACATTAATAATGAAAAAAAATATTAGAGATAAAAGGCAACACGCATAATGCGTATTGTTTGCTGGAATATTTTTTTTTAAAGATACAATAACATTTACACAAGAGATGTCCTTGAAGAGGTCTCACTAATTACCTGGACTTGATGTCCTTCTCCTGGATGGAGCTGGATATTCAGTAGGCAAAATACTCTGATCTCTTGTAACTTTGCCTAGAAAACAAATTATGTACTTAAAGCGACAGTACGGCTGCAAAATGTGTGCTTTTTCATTCAAATTTACCAAATATGTCATTAATAAATAAGGTATAAAGTTGATGTAAGCAGTTTGAGAAACAGAAATATTCTCTACTCAAACAAAATTAACGTAATTAGAATCTGCCGGAAAATCAAGGGCCGTACGAACTGGAGCAATCCTAGATCTGTTTATTTGTACCACGTGAATTCTAAAACGGCACGTGCCTACACTGTAGAGTTTACAATTATAATGAATATTAGGTGAAAGCAATTTTCAAATACAAATTATCATAACTTTATGATAAAATAACTAAAATAATAATCGTAAAGATTTTAGTCTGCATTCAGGCGAATTTAACAGAACTAAAAGTACAAATGTTGACGTTTTGTGTATTGGGGTCCGAGAAAGGAAAAACCAACTAATCATACGTTATCGCGGCAAACGTCAAACAAAATATTTTTCTGCACAGTTAAAAAAAAATTAGCATTTCAAATGGCAACAATGTTTATAAGTCAAAGGTGTATTTTTATGTTGAGTTTACACTAATTTTTTTCTTTGAAAGCAACGGAAAAATGATAAATGATAACAAGTATCAACAAACCTGTCGAATAGAACCTTCGAGAGCCCTGCGTGAGTGTCGCCGAGTTCCCGTTTCTTCCTTATTCAGCGATTATATTAATCCCCAAACTAAATTTTAGTCAGGAAAGTTGCTTTTTTAAGTTCTATTTTCAGTTTCTTTTTATCTTTGGTCGACTTTGTCAATGTAGCAGGCCTACCGGGATTTCCTCTCTAACCATGCTGTTTTGTTTATGAAAACTACGCATGCGTGCATGGCATGGAATGTGGAACCCCGAACACGTTGCGATGTATATATTTACGTCCCATAAATAACTATTAATTTTAATGAAATAATCCAAATTATTTAATTGTAAAAGTTGTAATTTTCTGAAAGTTTATACATTTATAAGTAGTAAAAAAATTCAAAATCTTGCCGGAAAATTTTTATCAAGTCAGTTTTTAGATGAGATGCGCCGTACTGTCACTTTAAAGCAAATTACATAATATAACTCACATAAATATATAATATACAAAAAAAACTAGCATCCAATAGATGTCAAGGTAAATGTTTTTTCCCTTTATAATTAATCTATTAAGTACTGGGGTATCATTTTGCTCTGATAATGAGTGTAGGAATTATAAATATAGAAAGAAATGCCAAATTGGAAAGATTACGTGTAAAGAGTTGTCAAAAAATTTAACCTTATTCATACAAAAAGTTAAAACCTGTTTTGAAACTATTTGTTGTTGTTGTTGTTGTTGTTGTTATATTTGCATTCCGGTCTCTTGATAGTGGTACCGATGGTATTTTCTTCGTAGGAAATGTATAGACAATTTTTTCTCCTCCGTTGTAACCTGGCTTATAGATTGAACCGACTGAAACATGACTAAATATAATAAATAGAAAGTGGGATACATGTAGCAACTTTAATAGACAATAATTCTTATGTATTAACATTTTTGGTTTTGTTGTTAGTAGCAGGGGCAGCAAAGCATAATTCCACTACAACTGCTTATTGTAAAAACACAGTTTACATATTCCTACTATTTTCCAACTGCAACTTTTCACTTCCCTTTTAAAACCTCTGCAAGTTGAGTTTTAAAGAGTTATTTCCATTGCATTTGTTTACCAATCTGTTTAGCCGTAATATTTTTCCTGGTTTTCGACCACATTTTAAGGAATATGCCATAGTGCAGAAATATCAACGAGAAAGTTTTGAGATGGAAAAGTCTTAAATAATTATGCCACAAATTAAAGCATTAACAAAGAAATGTCATTCAATTTCATTTTTGAGTTAAGAGATTTTCAAAATGATACAACTTAGCATAGACCTTTCAAGTTGAACTGAAGCAAACGGAGATTTATTTAATGATTTTATTCTTTGGGAGATATATGGAGGGTAGAAATTTAAATGGTGTGCAATCAAGAAAAAGTTTAACTGATTTTTTTTCTATATCCTTGATAATTTTTCCACGATACGAAAATGAAAATAAAAATCAAATATATATAGTAATAGTAAGTATTAAAACTATTCATTCCAAAATAAAATATTTGCTTGAAAATATTTCCAAGGTCTTCGTCTTTTGGAATATCTAATTTGCAAAAAAATGCATTTGTACTATGCATATTTTTAATTCGAAATTTTTTTGTTGGAATTTATCTATTCCCACTAGATTTTTTTTTTCATTCTTTGTTTTATTGCAGAGTTTTTTCTGATGGGAGAAGTTAAACGTGGCACATTATTCCGAAGAAGAATCTTACATTCACAAAAAGGAAGTGTCGCTTTCCAATATGCGCACGTCTCCAAGTTTTTCTGACACGAAGTTTCTTAAAAGAAAAATTGAAAGATAAATTAACCCAGTTTTTCAAAAAATATTGCAATCTTTGTTAACAATCTACTACTTATAAAGATCGTAAATGCTTTTGAGTTGTTGATGTTGACATTTCAGAAATATAACACTTAACAAGAACAACATATACTATTATGTCTACTGTGCATTTTTGTCTAAGGAAAAACCAGTTTGTGTATAGAATAAAGTTAACTTTACTTACGTTCCATCTTCTCAGCAAATATTTATGGCTTGCAGGGCATATAACAACAAACATACATTTTCTGTCCACAGCAATAAAATAAGAGCATGAAAGTCTTAAATTCATATATATATATATATATATATATATATATATATATATATATATATATATATATATATATATATATATATATATATATATATATATATATATATATATATATATATATATATATATATTCAACAATAACACACAAGTTTAAGCATTTTTGTTTTAAAAAAATGGTACAAAAGCTGTAGTGTTGTAGGAGCAAAATTCCGAAAGTGATTTATGAATACTTACAATTTTAAGAGTGTGATGAATAAAATTTTTGTCATACTGTATACGATTGTTAGTATTTTCCAATTTTTACTTCCCCTTTCCGTTTCCACTTCAAAAACAAAGACATGTCTCAATAACATGTTTAATCTGGGCGGCACAAAATGTAGGGTGTTTTAATACAAAATGATATAATATCTTTATCTGATGATCATCTTATCACATTCAAAATACAGCAAACAATGATGAAAATAAGTATTTTAAATAGATGTTACATAATATTTAGTAAACCATCAAATAGGAACCCTGTATCGTTTCTTCTATGCAAACTTTTGTCCCGAGCAATTTTGTTCTACATAACATGTACAACGGTGCCTGATATCAAGTTTGCAAATCAAAGTATTTTGACAATATTCCGAGGTAAATTAATAAAAAAATTCTTTGTCCAACATTGACTCCAAGACAAAACTTGAACAAATTTGAAAATGGATAATCTTAGGATGCATATGGAGTTAAGAAAAACTCTTTCTATAATTTTTTATTCTTTATTTTGGAAACAAAATTTTTGACTTTGATGCACAAAGGCACGATAAGACTCTCTGAAGTTACTAATATTTATTATGTTTGATAATCATACGATATCAATTCTCTTTGCACGAGAAATTAGTTGCGGTAGTTAATTTTTTAAACTGCATGCATAATTGACAAGCGGCTCAAGGGTCTTAAGGGACACTTTAGTATATTACACGTACAGCCCTCTAAAGGATCCATAAAAGAGCAATTTTATAATAAAACAAAATAAACGCATAGATGAAGATGTATTGATAAAAAAAAAGGAAGAGCTAGAATGATAATTATTAAGAAAATTATTAGGCTAGCTATAATAAGCAACAATTCCGAAAGTAGATGTATGGTATTTTACTATATTTGCCTATAGGCGCCAGTTCTAACCACACTCTTTCACTCTCCCCATTAACAACATAAAAGTGATTAAGTAATAATAAAAGAGCATTCACATTATAAATCAAGCATACCCTTGGCTTCTCTTGGTCTTTGAATTATATTTCATATACAAATATAATATGTTTTATTTCATTTTTATTCATTTATCCTTTATTATTTACAAGTATATTTGACTATGTAAAACTTTAAAAATACGTTTTGTTCTATTCATTAGAAATAAAAAAAAAAATCCAACACCTACTCCAGATAACCAGAGCCAATCGCAGCTCTGTTAAGGCTGCATTTTATGTGCAGTGAGAGGCGGATCAAGTAATTTTTTCACAGTGAAAAATGCATTTTATTATTAAACAGAATATTATTTGCAAATCTTAGGTAGACCATTACTACAAATCTGAAACCTTTGTTTAGTGCCATTATTTAAAAAAATATCGAGAGAATGTATTGAATTAATTCTACCGTGTTTTTGTCTACAGGGTGTGCATGTTTCACGCTGAGGTGCCACATTAAATCGCCTTTTCGCAAGGGCATACACTTAATAGATCTTGACCATTTTTTGAATACAGATAACGGACATATTCCTTAACTTGAAAAGTGCTGCTGCTTTCCTGAAATCGATAGCATAACTTAATAAATACATAAAATAATTGGTAAAGGTCACACATATTTCGACATTAGTTAGATAACTTGAAATTTAAACTAATAGAATGCGAATTCTATTTAAAGCAGCAGCACTTTCCATAAACTACAAGTTATGTAGAAACAATCTATTACTTTAATTTTAACTAGGGTATGCCCTTGCGATATTGAAATTTGTTTGTGACCTACATACAGTACACATTACATGCATTTATCACGTGACTATCAAATAACGTGACCAAACCAAATTCAGTACAGAGCTGGGTATACAATGTTATTTCAAAGAATGGTTAAAGTCATAAGAAAATATAGTTCCTTTACAAAAATAAATTCAGTTGAAAAAGGTATGTATTTATGCATGTTAATATTCTGTTGATTTCTTCGAAGTACGCCTTAACAGTGCTGCGATGGCCATGAATTTCAAAATTTTAGTAGAAGCACTTTTCCTCATCATAACCATGCACATAGTTTGTCTGCTAATTATCCAGGATCAAAGAATATTGCATTTTTCTATATAATCAATAGAGCCCCGCTCTAACTCAAGAACCCTTGACCAGGGTGCCATGAATTTCACAATTTTGTAGAAAGCTAAATGCTTATGGTAATTATGCAAACAGTTTGACTGCTTTATGTCCAGAAGTAAAGAAGACGATTTTTGAAAATGGCATTAATTTTGATTGTTTACGCCCTGTCTCTCAAGCCCATCCACCTGAGTGTGTGTGTGTGGGGGGGGGGGGGGGAGATGCCATTAAATTCACAATATATTATTCCACTTTTTCCATAGTAAAGATATGCCCAAATTGACTAAAATTTGTTCATTAGTTCCAGAGAAAAACCTTAAATGTTTAAATGTTAACGGACGACACCAGATAGCAATAGTGACTTAGATAACAAAAGGCATGAAAGACAATTAGAATGGTTTATTGAAGAGAAAAATAATAAGCATTGTTAACAATGTCATCTTAAAAGAAACAACTGAATAAAGAAAATATCAGCTTCCATTTCTATGTAACAAAAAATAAAGATCTGAAATAAAACTTTCAAAGAATTCGTGAAATGAATGTTCCAGTTCAAGGGGAAAAATGTCCTATCGACCATATCATTTACCAGAGTCACGTTATCTTTCTGATAAATATCAATTTATTTAATTCAATGATTTGAACAATTTGAAATAAGTATATTGAGTTATAAGAGTGTATCACAAATTGGAGATTTGGTTCTTGCAAGGTTGAAATATTTCCGTTCAAACGTAATCCCTACACTAGCCCCCACTCTAACCCTAGTGACAATTATTTCAACAAAATACAATCTACAATACATAGGGATGCATGTCATTATATAATTGTAAGCCTTATTCTATATATGTAAATAATGATGAACATAAATGTAAATACATATGTAATGAGAGATCAGATTTATAGTTTCTTAATACCTGCATCTTATTGTAAGAATGTGACAATTTACGTTTTTTTTCTTTCGTACACGAATTGAGGTTTATAAAGTTCGTGTTACTTGAGATCCATGTCAGATCCTTTCTCAAGAACAAAGTATTGCTCGGACAACTCAGTATCCAAAGTATCTTTCAATCTGTCGGCCTCATTCATGACATTGATTTCACTTTTACTGTCGTTTGTCCAGCGCTGCTCATTTTCATCCATGGCGTACGATTCTGTAATAGCCTTTCCCGACGAAACAAGATATTCATGTGGTAGAGATCTACTTATAGGGGTCAGATATAGGTCGTTATTTTTCTTTGTCTGCTGTGGAATATCTGGAAGTCCGGTGTTTTTTCGACTTTCTAATGCAGAATCGTCAGCAAGGGAATACGAGAAGTTGGTATGAGAAGGTAATGATCGCTAGGAATAAAAAAAATATATAAATTAATAATAATTTTATTCATAACAGATCTAGTATGTATTATTGAACGACCCTGGTACTAAATTTTATATGCAATTTTGTTTCAAAAAATTTTTACAAAAAAGTTTTTGTAATAATGTTGATTGAAACGATGAGACTGGTGGTCAAAACACACTCGGTTATCTTTTCTCAAATGAATATGTGCATGTAGATAAACTAAATCGCGTATTGCTGACACCAATTGGTGTCCTTTTATTTCATTTATTTAAATTTGCAGTATATTGGGGCTAACAATGAACTCAATTAAATGCAGCCATATTGTTTTTGTTGATATTTCACTGTGTGAAACCTTGTTTCCCGATCGTAGCTCTTTCCCATTTTTAGTAGGAAAGTTTAGAATAAATACGCATCTGCAAGACTTAAGGAGGCTATAATACATGAATATTTTTTTCTGAACTGTCTGTTCTTTAGACATTTTTTAATAGATTATTAAGTTATAATTTATCTTTACAATATTTTGCCTGTTCAATTTCTGCCATAGTTCTCCTTTATATTTTTAGTGCCAAGAACAAAGAATGTCATCTGTGTCATGTAAAATGTGAAAAAAATTGGTTTTAGGACATATTGTAGGTATTAAATTTTTACCCAATGAAAGGTGAATGAACGTAATTAATAGTATTCGTGTCGCCTGTTTTGATAAAATCACTTTTTGCAACTTCTGTTGTCATCAACTCGCTCAGTATCAGTATATGAATTTTGTCAGTTTTAATGTTTTATTTTTTAAGGATTAAAGATTTCTGTGGGACAATGATTATTCGCGGGGGACCGATGTTCGTTTATTTCGAGAATCACCTTTACCCACAAATTTATATCCACACAAACGAAAACTTTGTCAAGGTATCAAAACAATGAATATTCTGTAAATATGAATTGCCCATGAAGTTACGTCCCCAATGATTTAAAATGATTTTCATAGTATGAGATTTATAATGAATAGGGATTTAAAGATTTCCAAAGAATAAAGATTATAAGGTTTACAAGGATAGGGATTATGGGTTTGTGAGGATAAGGCTAATGAAGAATAAGGATTTTAAGGGTTTTATGTCTGCATTTATCAGTGTAACTAGATATGACCCTGATATTTTTGAGAAAGTTTTAAAATATGAAAAACGTTCATTCGCCAAATAGAAAGACAGACAGACTCAAAAAACCTTCCATCAGTAGAATTACTTGGACTTTTGGTTCAGATGCGCTAAATAAAGGGTCGCATAAGTAACAATATTGTCAAAACAGAGTAACTTACTGGTTTTTCTGCTACTTCACAATAGACGCCCTCATCATGGTGACTGAAGCATGGAACTCTCATGTTTTCAGTCGAACCTTTCTGCAGATTATATGAGGCATTGCTGATGCCTTTCTTTCCTTCTTCTTTATTTTTATCGTTCCTTTATGAAATGTATAAGTGATACACATTATCATCTATGTCCCAACTATGTACATATGTGTAACTCTCATCGACTTTCACTTATGAAAAAAATTTCGAAGAAAAACTATAGTAGATATTGAAAAGTGCATGTAAAACCTTTGAAAAGTCATTTCGCTTAAACAACACGAAAATGATACTATAGAATATTAATCGAAACTCCTAATTTTATTCACTAAATTGTATTTTGAATTAAATTCACTTAAGTAAAGATTTACGTCATCTCCATCTAGAAACAAATGTTCTGTCAATGAAATAATTTGTATTTTCTAAGTTACTAAAAAGAAAAAAAAACAATACCAGTGAGACAAAACAAATATTCTTAATGAGGAGTCTTGAAGAATTCAAACAAAAAACCAAAAACACTGAAGTAAAAGTACTTCAATACTTACAATGTGCGTTTATTTTTTTTCAAAAAGAGTGCAAAATATAAACTTCCGGCACCAATTGCTGCTGCAACGAAATGTGTCAACACCAGAATACCTGCAAAATAGATAAACAATTATCTTTTCTTCTAATGATATTAGTATGGATATAAAGCAACCTGGCAAAAATTTAAAACTACTGAGTATAACTAACGAACGAAAAGCATATAATATTTGACTACGGTGTAGAGCAAAATATGCTAACATCATTAGGTAATCACTGATTTGCGATTAAAGAGCTATTTTATTTGATTTATTTACCAATCACTTGTAATTTAAACAACAAAGTAGAAATAAGAAATACGAAACTGATACCAGCTGCATGGTTTTGTACATCTACATGTAATAGTAGATATTCTACCTTGTGGCATTTTCTCTTTACACTTCTTTTTGCCTTTTTTCTTTTGTTTATTGTCTTTGCCTGTATAATAAAAAAAATGTTTTCTAATATTGTCTGTAAATTTTTCATGAATTAGCATAACCCACATTTTTTGTCTCAGATTCAACAATTGCTTTATGTACATATGTTCATTTTTTTTTTTTTTCAAATTAAGATACAATTAAAATGAACAATATGACAAGTACAATCACTTTTTCCAATAATTTGAAAATACAGTGCAATGATAGAACCACAGATTTCTTGATTTTCTATTCATGTTTGTTGATTTTCTTTTACTGGATGATTTTATTTGGAACAATAATTGTAATGATGGAATAATTTTTGTTTCCATCATTACATCAATATATTTTCATTTACTATAGTAACTCATATTGCAAAAAAATTGTCGATATAACAGTTTTGGCAACGAATGTTGTTTTAAATGCATAACCATTTTCATCATTTTCCATTTCATTCTCTTTTTTCTCCTCGTCTAAGGAAGAATTATCGTTTTCAGTAGTTTCATCATCGGAGGTTTTTGCTAAAAAAATAAAAGTAATTTAGAGTTAAACTGATAAAGGTTATGCGAATAGTTTAGTTAAGTATGTCAATGAATTATTATTGCTCAATATATATAATGGTAAATAAACCAAAACATGAATTGATGTCTACCGTTTGGACACATCGTACGTTTGTGTCGATCCTCATTCTCTTCTTTACAACACCCTCTACATATTCTTTTTTCTGTGACAAAGTAACTAAAAGTTTTACGAATGTAAAAGGATGTTTTCATATAAAGTATATCATTTAAGTGGTATCACATTTATATCACATTTAAGTATCTATAAAAATATCAATCCGGGCTTGTAGCATGATCAAATCTCAAAGGGCCCAAATGGTTTTATTGAAGTTTAGGTGATAAAAGTGATGACTTCAATTTTTCAATCAACTTCCCTTACTTATATAGCAATACATCTTGATTCGATACGCAAAGGCATCCTCTTCGATGAACTTCAATCAATTTTTAAAACGAGGCAAGCTATTGACAAACAAGTTTATGAAACAAGAATATCAACAGTCTCGTTTGAAGTCATCATTTCGCAAGTTTTATGGTCTATACAATGACCTTGTTATCAAATACAACCTATCATTAAGTCAAAAGTTGACTGACGTTTTTCATACTAATTGTTAGGCCATTATTTACACACTGAATTGTCTTCGGATTTTTCCGTTATTTCCGGATCATGACAAGGAGCACACGGCGCGTGTGAATGGTCGGCAGGGGATATTCACTCATCCATGGCACCTGATCCCACCTCTGATTTTTTTGGAGGTTCGTGTTTGCACTGCTCCCGATTTGTATTGTTTAAATGGACTTTGAGCTTGAATGTTATTCGTAATCTCCATAATTCATCACGTACTATCTCATTCCTATATGCCTATATATGTTTAAAAGTAATGCATTTTTACCCAGATTTATATTTATGGTTATATCATATAATTTGTTTGCGTGGTTATAATCTTTAACCAATGAAACATTGATTTTTTTTTTTTTTTAAATTTAAGGGTTTCCAGGAGCAACTGTCTCTCAAGATGTCACTGAGAAATTACATTTATTAGACCGTTTATGACATAACAATAAATTTGTGGTTTGTCATGTGTTGCTGAAAAAGAAAACATTTGCAAGTTTATATAAATATAGTTCTGCATTGCTTATTACGTCTGAAACCAAATATCAAAATAATATGCAAAAGGACAATGAACATTTTGACTGTTTTAAGTTTTTTTCCTTATCCGTTCAATTGACAAATGCATATAGTAATTTGACATAATGTACGAAGAACTTTTTTGATATAAAGGTACATTTTTTCTTTATAATCAAATACATTTTTTTTCAGCATGATTATCGATTCAAGCATCATTAAAAAACAGTTTAACTAGTAGCTAAAGAACTCGACAACACAATGGTGTCAGGGGTATGTAAAACAGAAGTACTGCCACAGGAGAAGCAAATACTTCGTGCTTTTGCATCATAGCAAATACTACAGACTGACTTTATTCTCATTAAAAGTAAACTTACCTGAAACATTCTTATTGTTGCAGATACGATTAGATTTGTTTTTCTTATCAAGAACACAATATGACTTCAAGCTAATAATGCATTCTTCTTCATCTATAATGACCGAAGTATTCCAAGATAAGGAAATACTGAAGTTACGTAGCGATTCCATTCCTTTGGACTGCGATTTTCTGTTACAAACCACATTTTTACCATATTCTGTAGCAGATAATCAACAGAAAATAATAAGTATTATTTTTCTCAATGACATATATAACTTTACATGCTATAACTATTTAAATAACTTTAAAGACAAAAGAAACCAGATAAAAAGGATATATCATAAGAGGTAGAGTAATGATTTCTGTAAAGTGATTTTGTTGATTTTATTTAATTTCCGAAACATCCAACTTATCTATGAACTGATACCAACCTGCATTCAAATCAATTTTATACGGACAAACTGAAGCACAAGATGTTTTCCATATATCTGTCACCTCCCTAAATGTGGTGTCTACTTTGTTCTTAGGTCTTAAATAATATAAAAGAAAAATATATTCGGGCTTAAAGGAACATTGTAGATCAAATATTCATATGAATAAACATAACGAAAAAAGGTATGTAAATGTTTTATCAGATATTTTTAAGTTATACTATACTCTTCATCATCCTTAGTTTCCTTTGCTTCCATCAGAATGATCATATCTATAAAAAGAAAAATAAAATAAAGTTTAAAAAAAATATTCACTGTTAAACCTAAATTTTCATGAATGTTAATATTCACAACTTACAAAGTAATAATTCTAAACAAATATGTCTGGTATATTTCATGATTTTCCACTTCTAAATAAGTGAAACTGTGTCTATTTCAACCTTCCCAGTTTTCTTCCTGTTATTAAACAATGCATATCCTTAATACGCTTATATGGAATTATGTTTTTGAAATGTTGCATAGGAAACAAACAAAAAGGAAATGAAATGAATTTATCATAAACAAGTGCAGAATAAGAATATATATGATTAAAAGATGGTTGTTTTGTCTCAGATGAAAAATGAAGTGTTCAGTGAGGCTGAATTGCAACAAAATCAGTAAATTAAGACAAAAGATTATTAGTATAAAAAAAAAGATGGGTAAAGATAATAATTTGTAAGTGTTTAGAATGTTTAAATCTTTATCTGAATAATGATAAATTAAGAAAATATATCTTTGACTTTTCTTACCTTATGTAGGAAAGAGAATTTTAAAATATTAGCCAGTGTATCGATCCTTGAAATGTTATTTCCTTGAAGCTCAAACATGTGCGTAATTTTTATATGCTATATTTCGAATTGCTAGATATAAATGATTGTGTTATGTAAGCTATTTTATGAATTAAAATTGGAAATAGTAATTCTATACGACATAGAATACCATCATGATATATCATTAATAAATGAGCGGTTTTCACCTATCTAGCAAAGTTTCAGAAATCCTAATTACATTAATCTCAGCTCAAATAAATGGTTTTTTCATCAAGGTGAAGCGAGATAACACTGACACCTTCAAAAATGCCTGTTGAAGTGTGTACGCAGATTAAGTGATTGATTTATTTGTATGTTGTTAAACGTCCCATTCGATAATTTTTCGTGTATGTAGTAACGTCACTTGTTGTAGGTGAAGTGCCATAAATTTTACCTATGTTCGGCTCTTACGGCTGTAGCAGTGATGGTTCTTTATTGTGCCTCCGCCCAAGTGCTCCGTGACTTGGGCCTTTTTTAAGGTCACATCCCGAGGATCAACGTCTTTGACTTAGCAAAAGAACACTCAATATTTGTGTTTAAGGTCTTACGTATGAAGGGGAGGCAATGTCTTAGAGTAAACCTTCCTGATAGTCTAGAATCCTCTCAGAAGATTTATTTTTTAGTAAACATCCCCTTGTAGGGGTTTAATATATCGAATTTATTCCTGCGTAATAAATTCTCTCATCTAAACCGAAAACGGTTCGGATTTAATGAATATGTGTTCAATTAGGAATACATTCTTTAGTTATGATCTTCATCTATGTGTTAAATAAGAAGTGTGAGTTTCTTTTGTGTGAAATCATTGCTGACCAAAACACTGTTCTCAAGTTCAATAAATTTATCTTTAAGGAAGCTGTAAACACTGATCTAAAAATGTTTTAGACAATGAGAAACTCAGATTAAATAAAGGTGTACATAAGATACATGATCCTTCCGTGGAAAATCATATTCAGTTTCTTGGTATTTTAAGCGACTCCAGTCCTCTTCACTTTTATATCTACATGACTTCTAAATGCATATGAAATATGAGATCCGCACCTGTGCACCTATGTTATTGACTTGTGTTGACAATATCCATAGTCACCTATTTTAGACCGCCGTACCCTAAATGAAAAAAATGGGCAATTTATGACATCGATTTGATGCACTCTTAATTCAAACAAATATAAAAAGAAAAGATATTTCTGTTACTTGTGCCCTAAAAATAAAAGATTTTGAGACACTTTTCTTTTCACGAAAGCTTTTGAACGATTTGAATATAAAGCGCTCCTTTCACTTCCTTCATCAATGTTCAGAAAATGTTTTCAATAAAGCAATTGAGGCTTTTAGAATTTTAAACTTTGAATCGATATCGACCGTGCTTCAGAATCATATCGGGATTGGAAATTGGATATTTTGAATATTTGACGTAAAATTTTGAAAACTCAAAATGAAAAGAAGTGTTTTGTTATCTAAAATTTGATTGTTTGAATCAAAATTCTAAATTTCTAAAAATCTAAAACGTTTTAAAGTTGAAGATTAAAAGTTTGAAGTAAATCTTAAAATATCAAAAGAGGAAAAATGGTACTGAATTTTAGATTGTTGAGTGTAAAACTTCTAAACAAACGATAGATTAAAAGCTCAAAAGTTAAAATTAGAAACATCAGTTTTGGAAATTTGAATTTTGAATCCTAAAAATAAACATTTAAAAATTAAAATATTGAAACGTTTTGAAATTTGAATATTTAGATTTTTCAACTAAAATATTAAATTTCAAAATACGAAATCATTTTGAGTATTTTAAATCAAGAAATTTGAACTAAAATGGTCCGTGCATCACTTTACAATTCAAATTTCAAAAATGATTTAGAGTTTTAGAATTTCAATATATTGGTTCAAATTTCTAAATTTTAGAATTTTACTTCAAATATCCAAAATATCAAATTTCTAAACCCGATTTGAAATTTCAAACTATGTCAAACCCGATTTGAATTTTGAAACTATGTCAAAAACGCTTTTGGTCAAGCATAGAAGCTTTTAGATATTTAGAATGTTGAACCGATACAGACATATTATTAAGATCTAAGGTAAGCAGAATAAATGCATTCTAGTATTACAAAAATTGTTGATTGGAAAACATGTACATTTATCGGGTCAATTTTGATTGATATCAGAAATCAATCGGAACACTCTGAATGTACTTCTAAATTATGAATCACTATACGGATAAAAGGTGATGTTTACTATATAAGAAAATATCCGGAGGATGATATGCTATGGGGCAATATGGTAAATATTCATCGAGATTATCTGGAAGGAAGGTTTGCCACATGACAATTATTATGAAGGGGATTAGGTTTGCTACACATTGCGAAGAAGGTTTACTATGCTAGATGTATACTATACGAAACCGTTAACGAGAATCGAGCCAGTCATCCTGATCACGACGAACAAATTGAATATTGAATGAAAAAATTCTACGTAGAGGATAAAATTACAATAACCTTCTAAAACCTCTCTTCACTTCTTTAACCAGGGAATCACATCTTCAAGATCTATTATTTTTTTCCTCAAACTTGTCTGATACTTGGTGAAGATCTTTCATGGACGAAATGAGGTATACCTTCTTGAAATGGTAAGTACTTTTAGTCAATTAACTTCAGAAATAATGAAATCTCTTACAAAGCTAATTAGGGCATGTGACCTGGTTTTATACTGCATTTCCAGTTATTCTTTAAAAAAAGACCCAAGCTCTAGGAATACATCTACAAGTCTAAGCTGGTAGATGAAATATATGGAGATAACGAACAGTATTCAAGCTCAAAAGTCCATTAAACAATACAAAATAGGAGCAGAGCAAACACGGACCTCCAAACATGAGAGGTGGGATCAGGTGCCATGGAGGAGTGAGCATCCCCTGCCGACCGGTCACACCCGCCGTGTGCTCCTTGTCATGGTCGGGAATTAACGGAAAAATCCGTCGACAATTCAATGTGTAAATAATGGCCTAACAATTATTATGAAAAACGTCAGTCAGCATTTGACTCAATGATAAATTGTATTTGCTGACAAGGTCATTGTATCGACCATAGAACTTACGAAATGATGACTTTAAACGAGACAGCTGATATTCTTGTTTCATCAACTTGTTTGTCAATAATTTACCTCGTTTTAGAAATTGTACATACGTAGAGCATGCTCTTGCGTATCGAATCAACTGAAAGATATATACCCCGTATGCAGGTGATGAAGGTGTACTGCTGCATAAGTAAGGGAAGTTGACGATTGAAAAGTTAAAGTCATCACGATTATCATAAAGCTTGGTTGTTAGATTACCATTAACGTCTTTTTCAAGTAAAATATCCAAATATGAAACAGATGTGTCAGAATCTGTGATATCTTTTATTTCAAGCTCACCAGGATATATCGTATCGACATAAGAATGGAAATAGCCATTGTTAATTGACAATACGTCGTCGATATATCTAAATGTCGAGTTGAAGGCCATAGCAAGTGTTTTCTTCTTTTCACGTACAAGATTTTGGACAAATTCTGCTTCATCTGAATACAAAAAAAGGTCTGCTAATAAAGGGGCGCAATTGGTACCCATGGAAATTCCAATAGATTGTTGGAAGACTTGGTCTCCAAAAACCACATAGATATTGTCAATCAGAAACTCAAACATCTTTTTACTGCAACTTCAAAGTACTTGTGTGTACAATCAGAATGTTTTTAACAAAATAATTTTGCAAATGACCAGTGACAAGGTTAGTATATTTACGAGTTCCATTTTTATTGAAAAAGCAGCTGTCAAGCTTGGCAAAGAATAGATGTATCGTGAATGACTGACTCAACGTTTTGATCATCATATTAATACAATTCATAATCAATTTTACATACTAGATAGCTGACAGTTGTACACATTAAATGGATGGCTACAGAATGAGCAATAGAAAAAAAAAAAAGAATTTCTGTATAATTTTGATGCATATTTGTTTTAAAATCATCCTATAGGGATGATTTTACACTTTGCCACTACTGTGCTTTAATTATTGCAAGTAAGTGTAATTGATTATTTTATTTTTGATATTGATTATTTTATTATTGCAATTGGTATTAATCATTTTATTATTGGTTTACATTATTTTATTATTGGTATTAAAATCAAGAAAATTATTAATTTGCTATATTATCTCTCTCATAAATTACAACAAAATAAAGCCAAGTTATGAATATGATCGAAACATTAATTACATAACATGTGGCGTAAATTTAATTTAGTATATATTATACTATAATAATATGTATAATATACATATATATAAATATATCCTATATAATAATACATTTATAATATATCAAACACATAATTCTGTTGCCTGAGTCTGCCAAGTATTTGATTAAAATTATATTTTTTAGATTTAATCAAGCACAGTCCCCAAGAAGAAGGAAGAAAAAAGGTGTGAATAATAGGGACAAAGTGCAAAAAAGAATGATCTCTTTTTCTCATATAGCAGGCATAAACATATGGCATTCCTGTCTTTTTAAATGATTCCATAACAAGTCTAAGTACCTGGACTTGTCAATTTCATGGATGGTGCTGGATATTCAGTAGACAAAATACTCTGATCTCCTGTAACTTTGCCTAGAAAACAAATTATGTCCTTAAAGCAAATCACATAATATAACTCACGCAAATATATAATATTCAAAATAAATAGCTTTCAATAGATGTCAAGGTAAATGTTTTTTTCCCTTTGTAATTAGTTTATTAAGTACTGGGGTATCATTTTGCTCCGATTATGGGTGTAGGAATTTTAGATATTGACAGAAATGCAAAAATGGAAAGCTTACGTGTAACGGGTTGTCAATTATGTTAACCTTCTCCATACAAAAAAAGATAAAACCTGCTTTGAAACTATTTGTTGTTGTGGTGGTGGTTTTTGTTGTTGTTATATTATATTTGAATTCGGGTCTGTTAATAACGGTACCGATGATATTTTCTTCGTAGGAAATGTATAGACAATTTCTTCTCCTCCATTATAGATTGGACCGACTGAAACATGACTAAATATAAGAGATAGAAAGTGGGATACATGTAGCAACTTTAATTTCACTACAACTGCTTATTGTAAAAACACAGTTTACTAATTCCTACTATTTTCCAACTGCAACCTTTCACTTTCCTTTCAAAACCTTCCTCAAGTTGAGTTTTAAAGAGTTATTTCTATTGCGTTTGCTTACCAATCTGTTTAGCCGTAATATTTTTCATGTTTTTCGATCAAATTTTAAGGTATATGCCATAGTGCAGAAATATCGACGAGAAAGTTTTGAGATGGAAAAGTCTTAGATAATTATGCCGCAAGTTAAAGCATTAACAAAGAAATGTCATTCAATTTCATTTTGAGTTAAGAGATTTTCAAAATGATCAAACTAAGCATAGACCTTTCAAGTTGAACTGAAGCAAACACATATTTATTTAATGATTTTATTCTTTGGGAGATATATGGAGGGTAGAAATTTAAATGATGTGCAATCAAGAAAAAGTTTTACTGATTTTTTTTCTATATCCTTAATAATTTTTCCACGATACGAAAATGAAAAAAAAAATCAAATATATGTAGTAATAGTAAGTATTAAAACTATTCATTTCAAAATAAAATATTTGCTTGAAAATATTTCCAAGGTCTTCGTCTTTTGGAATATTTAATTTGCAAAATAATGTATTTGTACTATACATATTTTTATTTCGAAAATTTTAGTTGGCATTTATATTTTCCCAATAGATTTTTTTTATTCTTTGTTTTATTGCAGAGTTTTCTGATGAGAGAAGTTAAAAGTGGCACATTATTCTGAAGAAAAACCTTACATTCACAAAAAGGAAGTGTCGCTTTCCAATATACACACGTCTCCAAGTTTTTCTGACACGAAGTTTCTTAAAAGAAAAGTTGATGTAATTTTCCCAGTTTTTCAAAAAATATTGCAATCATTGTTACCAATGTACTACTTATTAAGATTGTAAATGCTTTTGAATTGTTTGTATTGACATGTGACATTTCCCGACCATGACAAGGAGCACACGGCGGGTGTGACCGGTCGGCAGGGGGTGCTAACTCCTAATGTTTTGGAGGTCCGTGTTTGCTCTGCACCTATTTTGTAATGTTTAATGGACTTTTGAGCTTGAATACTATTCGTTATCTCCATATATTACATTTCACATATATAACATTTCTCAAGAACAACATACTATTATGTCTACTGTGCATTTTTGTTAAAGGAAAAACAGTTTGTTTATGAAATAAAGTTAACATTACTCACGTTCCATCGTATCAGCAAATATTTATGGCTTGCAGAGCCTATCACAACCAAGACACAGCAGTAAAATAAGAGCATGAAAGTCTTAAATTCATATATATATATATATATATATATATATATATATATATATATATATATATATATATATATATATATATATATATATATATATATATATATATATATATATATATATATATATATATATATATATATATATATATATATTATTTATTTATTTATTTATTTATTTATTTATTTATTTATTTATTTATTTATTTATTTATTCAACAATAAAAAAAAACAAGTTTAAGCATTTTTGTTAAAAATTGGTACAAAGCTGTAGTGTTGTAAGAGTAAAATTCGGAAGGTGTTTTATCAATACTTACAATTTGAAGAGTGTGTTGAATGTCTATAAAAAAATTTCATACAGTATACGATTGTTAGTATTTTCCAATTTTTACTTCCCCTTTCCGTTTCCACTTCAAAAACAAAGACATGTATCAATAACATGTTTAATCTGGACGGTATAAAATGTAGGGTGTTTTAATACAAAATGATATAACATCTTTATCTGATGATCGTCTTATCACGTTCAAAATACAGCAAACAATGATGAAAATAAGTATTTTAAATAGATGTTACATAATATTTAGTAAACTATCAAAAAGGAACCCTGTATTGTTTCTTCAAGGCAAACTTGTGTCCCGAGCAAGCAATATTGTTCTACATAACATCTACAGCTGTGTCTGATATCAAGTTTGCAAATCAAAGTATTCTGACAATATTCCGATGTAAATCTTTAAATATTCTTTGTCCAACATTGATTCCAAGATAAAACCTGAACAAATTTGAAAATGCATAATCTTAGGATGCATGCGGATTTTAAAAAACTCTATTCTATCATTTTTTATTCTTTTGGAAACAAAGTTTTTCACTTTGATGTACAAAGGAACTAAAAGACTCTGAAGTTACTAATATTTATTATGTTTGATAATCATAAGATATCATTTCTCTCTGCACGAGAAATTAGTAGTGGTAGTTATAACATACGCCTTTTTTAAACTGCATGCATAATTGACAAGCGGCACTGGGGTCTTAAGGGACACTTTAGTATATTACATGTACAACCCTCTAAAGGATTCATAAAAGAGCATTTTGTATAATAAAACAAAATATACTTATATTTGAAAATGTATTGTTGAAAAAAACAAGAAGACGAGCTAGAATGATGATGATTAAGAAAATGATTAGGCTGACTATGATAAGCAACAATTCCGAAAGTAGCTATTGGCGCCAGTTCTGACCACACTCTTTCACTCTCCCCATTAACAACATGCATGTAAAAGTGTTTAACTAATAATAAAAGAGCATTCATATAATTAATCAAGCATACCCTTGGCTTCTTTTGGTCTTTGAATAATATTTCATGTACAAATATCAGATGTTTTATCTAATTTTTATTCATTTATCCTTTTTTTATTTACAAGTATACTGGACTACTACAAACTATAACAAGAGGCCCATGGGCCACATCGCTCACCTGAGCACATTAGCTAGACACAAATCAGTTCAGTATTGAAAAGATTACTGGGGGTTGGGGGGGTTGAATTTTAAACTACCTGATGATGCTTCCATGTCAATATATCAAATGGCTTTGTTGTACTTGAGAAGATTTAAAAAAAAATTCCAATACATTCCTTTGTAATATTTTGATCCCCCATTGTGGCTCCTCCCTATCCCAGAGGTCATCATTTGAACAAACTTGAATCTACACTACCCGAGGATGCTTCCATATCAATATGAATAAACATAGCTTTTCTGTTCTTGAGAAGAATTTTTTTTTCTTATGTAAAACTTTCGATCCCCATTGGGCCCAACCCCTGGGGATTATCATTTAAAAAAAATTGAATTTACACTACCTGAGGATGCTTCCATATCAAAATGACTAAACATGATTTTCATTTCTTGAGAAGAAGATATTTTCCAATATGTTCCTATGTAAAAAAAATTTTGATCCCCCATTGTGGCCCATCCCTATCCCCAGGGGTCATCATTTTAACAATCTCGAATCTACACTACCTGAGGATGCTTCCATATCAAAATGACTAATCATGGCTTTGCAGTTCTTCATCAGAAGATACATTCCTAAATATTTCTTTTTCAGACATTGATTCTCCATTGTGGCCCCGCCCTACCCCAGGGGGTCATGATTTGAACAAACTTGAATCTCCACTACCTGAGGATGCTTTCATAAAAATATGACCAATTAGGGCTTTGCTGTTCTTGAAAAGAAGATTTTTGAAGGTTTTTCCTTTATATTTCTATGTAAAACTTTGATCCTCCATTGTGGCCCCGCCCTACCCCCGGAGGTCATGATTTGAACAAACTTGAATCTACACTACCTTGGGATGCTTCCATATAAATATGACTTATCATGGCTTTGCTGTTCTTGAGAAGAAGATTTTTAAAGGTATTTCCTATATATTTCTATGTAAAACTTTGATCCTCCATTGTGGCCCCGCCCTACCCCCTGGGTCATGATTTGAAGAAATTTAAATCTACACTACCTGAGGATGCTTCCACATGAGTTTCAATTTCCCTGGCTTTGCTGTTCTTGAGAAGAAGATTTTTAAAAGATGCTACGAATTTTTCAATAATTCTTTATTATCTCCCCTTGAAAGAGGGCGTGGCCCTTCATTTGAACAAACATGAATCCCCTTTACCCAAGGATACCCTGTGCCAAGTTTGGTTGAAATTGGCCCAGTAGTTCTGGAGAAGAAGTTGAAATTGTGAAAAGTTTACGCCAACGACAACGACGACAGACAACGGACAAATTTTGATCAGAAAAGCTCACTTGAGCCTTTGGCTAAGACGAGCTAAAAATACTTCTTGTTCTATACACTAGAAATAAAAAAAATACAACACTTACTCCAGATAGCCCTGAGCCAATAGCCATGAATTTCAAAATTTTAGTAGAAGCACTTCTCTTCATCATAACCATCATATATTTTGTCTGCTAATTTTCCAGGATCAGAGAATATTGCATTTTCCTATATAATCAATAGAGACCCGCTCTAACTCAAGAACCCCTGAAAACCAGGTGCTTTGAATTTCACAACTTTTGTATAAAGCTCAATGCTTATGGCAATTGTGCAAACAGTTTGACTGCTTATGTCCAGGAGTAAAGAAGACGATTTTTGAAAATGGCATTTATTTTGATTGTTTACGCCCTGTCTCTCAAACCCATCCACCTGAGAGGATATCATTAAATTCACAATATTTTATTCCACTTTGTCCATAGTAACGATATACCGAAATTGACTAGAAATTTTTCATTATATCTAGAGAAAAACCTTAAAAGTTTAAATGTTAACTTACGAAAACAGATAGAATTGTGACTCAGATAACCTAATAGATGTAAATAAAGGCATGAAAGACAATTGGAATGGTTTATTGAAGAGAAAATTAATAAGCATTATAAATAATTTCATCATAAAAGAAAAAAACTGAATAAAAAATATCGGCTTCCATTCCTATATAACAAAAGAAATAAAGATTTGCCATAAAACTTTCAAAGAATTCATGCAATGAATGTTCTAGTTCAAGGATGAAAATGTCCTATCGACCGTATCATTCACATGTACATGTATCAGAATCAGGTTATTTTTCTGATAAATATCAATCTATTTAATTCATTGATTTGAACAAATTGAATTAAGCATATTGAGTTATAATTGTGTATCACAGATTGGAGTATTAGGTTCTTGAAGGTTGAAATATTTCCGTTCAAACGTAATTCCTACACCGGCCCCCACTCTAACCCTAATAAAAATTATTTCAACAAAATACAATCTACAATACATAAGGATGCATGTCATTATATAATAGAAAGCCTTATTCTATATATATGTAAATAATGACGAACACAAATGTTAATACATATGTAATGAGAGATCAGATTTATAGTTTTTCAATATCTGCATGTTATTACAAAAATGTGACAATTTACATCACATGTCCTCTTTCGTACACGAATTGAGCTTTTTTAAGTTCGTTTTACTTGAGATCCATGTCGGATCCTTTCTCAAGAACAAAGTATTGCTCGGACGACTCAGTATCAAAAGTATCTTTCAATCTGTCGGCCTCATTCATGACATTGATTTCACTTTTACTGTCGTTTGTCCAGCGCCGCTCTTTTTCATCCATGGCGGACGATTCTGTAATAACCTTTCCCGACGAACCAAGATATTCATGTGGTAGAGATCTACTTATAGGGGTTAGATATAGATCGTTAGTTTTCTTAGTCTGCTGTGGAATATCTGGAAGTCCGGTGTTTTTCAGGCTTTCTAATGCAGAATCGACAGCGAGGGAATACGAGAAGTTGGTTTGAGAAGGTAATGATCGCTAGGAATAAGAAGAATATATAATTTAATAATAGTTTTATCCATAACAGATTTATTATGATGTTGTTGTCAAGGATAGATGAAACAAACAGACACAACATACGAGGGTCTCTCCAAAAGTAATACGATATACAGTTGAACTGTTCATCATAATAAACTTAGTTTTATTTTTCACAGTAGAAAAGTACTATTTAAGAACTCATAACCAACAAAAACCGTACGATTTTTCTTACATTCTTCGTAAAAAAAACCCCACACATTTAAAGAAGGCATGGTCACTAGATTGAGTAGAAAATGGTTTAAGAATGCTCTCTGCCAAAAAGACGAAAATCAGGGCGTTATGTAAAAACTGTGCTTCGTTACAAAATCGCTGAAGAACCAGAATGATTGTATGTTGTTTTACGTCCAATTCGAGATTTTTTCACTCATATAGAGACGTCACCATATACCGGTGAAGGGCTTCAAACTTTGACCTTTACTCGGCACTCAAGGCCATTGAGCAGTAAAGGATCTTTATCGTGTCAACGCCTGCCGTGACACGGGGCCTCGGTTTTTAAGTTCACATCCGAAGGACCTGCAACTTTCATGGCGAAGGAACAGTTGCTACCCATTTTTTATCGACTTAGCTCAGTCGCGGCTGAGATTCGATCTCACGACCTCTCGATCACGGAGCGAGCGCTCTACCGACTGAGCTACCGTGAACGGTGAGAACCAGTATGAAAGATGTGGTTTTGATATCTGGAAAGACAAGTGTTCAGATGGATTACAAAATTCTATTATGGAAAAAGATTGTTACAAGATTTTGCAGCTGAACTGGTTGATCAAAATCAATAGGGACACCAAAAATGTCGATGCTGTTAAGAACATCTATGAAAGCCAGACTTATCGTGAAAGACGTTGGTAAGAATTCTTCTCATCATCACAGTATATAGAGTACTCACAAAGAAAAAATGAATCTAAAAAATGTCAGATGGATGCCTTATTTCCTTACAGATGCTTAAGAGAAAACATGCCTTAAAGGTACCATTGTCATACTTAAAATAAAAGTTGTTTTACAAAAGAAGTTGATAAGCTTGGGTGATGAGGTCAAAATGTTATTGTACTTTTTATTGCATAACGGGAAGAGCAATAATATAAAGTTGAATTAGTGAAAAAGCTGTCGTCTTATTGTTGCAAAGAGAAGCCAGAGCTCCAAACATGTCTTATACATGTTTTCTCTTTAGAGAAAAAGGTCCGATAATCCCTTACAAAAAATAATATATTAAACTATAGTTAACTATCGTTTACTAAAGTTCACTACAGTGAAAACTTTGACACTATGAAAGCTATAGTTAACTATACGAGGGGTGATCAAAAAATTCGCGAACTAATTGAATTACTTCTTTAAAAGATGTAAAATGAGGTTTCGGTGCTCATTATTTTTTAAAGTAGTCCTCTCCAATTATAATGCACATCTGCCATTGTTCTGCCCATTCGCGAATCACGTGATCCAGGCGGTCACGTGACATGCTCCATGGCGTTCTCTTCACAGTAGCTAAAAGATTTTTCCGAGTCTTATATTTCTTACCATGCAAGTTATTTTTTATAACAAGAACAGTCCATCTGTCAGAAATGGCCAAATCTCGGCAATAGGATGGGTGGATAAGTACATCCCTTCCCAGAATTATCATGGTGATCATCAAAACCCGAGTCCTCTGTCTCGGGAACGTCGTTTATTCAATGTGGATAAAGTATGGACGAACTTTTTTTTTATTATATCTCATATGTTTAAAGTATAAAGTAAACGATATTTCGGGGATTTAATAATTATATTATTGTTAAGATATTCAACTATTTTTCTAATTGTAACTTGGGTATCTTTCATGACAAATTGCTCAACTAAGGACACATCTTTTCCCCGGCTTGCTTTCGCTGGGCAACAAAACAAACATCATTTTTAGCCATCTACGACTGAGTCAACCATTTTTTTGTCACATATCACCTACATATTGACGTCATTTTCACTTTGTGACGTCACAAACACGGAGCAAAACATTATATAACACCTGCTATTTATAGAATATGCGTATGACTATATGTGTGCCAAATTTCATTCTGATCTGAATTGTGGTTTTGTAAATATAGAGATAGTTCGCGAACTTTTTGATCACCCCTCGTAGTGATAATTTTAAAACTTTGATTTACTATGGTGATAACTTTGAAAACTTTTATTTACTATAGTAACAATGATTTATTATAATAATAACTTTAAAAACTTTGATTTAATATACGTGATAACTATGACACTTTAGTGATCACTATGACACTATAGTGATAACTTTGATAACTTTGATTTACTACAGTGATAAATTTGAAACTTTGATTTACTATTGTTATCTCTAGTAAACTATAATTAGCTATCGTTAACTTTAGTATTTTTGTCAGGGATACACAAACCTACTTCCAAAGGAGGGACTATCAATGGTAGATTGTATTTAAAATTGCATTGAGGAAAGTTCAGGAGATTTTCTGTGAGGGAAGTCCGGTCTCCGAGTTGGTTTCTTGAGTCTAACAACCCTGCTGCAAAAATAGAAATGTAAAGAACTTTTTGAAGAAAGAAACGTTTACAGAACTTAGACGTTCTCAGTATTTGCTAAATTTTAGTCATTGAAAGATCTTTTTTTCCAAAATTTTCATACATGTGAAAAGATTAACTGAATACTTTGAGGGAAGAAAAATTACGAAGAAATTGCTTCATTTGCTTTTCTTATTTTTAAATTGCTTTTTGCATTATTTATTGAACGACCCTAGTGCTAAATTTGAGATGCGATTTTGTTTTTAAAAAACCAACAAAAAAGGTTTTTGTAATAATGTTGATTGAAACAATGGGACTAGTGGCCAAAACACACTCTTGAGTTACGATTATCTTTTATCAAATGAATATGTACATGTAGATAAACTAAACCGCGTATTGTTGACAGCAGGTGAAGTCCTTTTAATTCATTAATTTGAATTTAAAGCTTATTGAGGCTAACTATTAACTCAATAAAATGCAGCCATATATTTTTTCTTAATATATTACTGTTTAAAACGTTGTTTCCTGATCATATCTCTTTGCATTTTTTAGGGGATAAGTTTAGAACAATTATGTATCTGCAAAACATAAGGAGGCTGATATACATGAATAATTATTTCTGACCTGTCTGTTCTTAAGGTAATTGTTTAATAGTTTATTAAGTTATCTACTATATTTTGCCTGTTCAATTTTATGTCGTAGTTCTTCATATTTTCAGTGCCACGAACAAAGAAGAATGCCATCTGTGTCATGTAAAATCTGAAGACATTGGTTTTGAACATACTGTAGGTATTAAAGTATTATTCTTCGAAACCTACATCTAAAGAAATGTACATGAGCGGCATTAATATTATTCATGACACCTGTTTTCTTTAAAGCACTTTTTGCCACTTCTGTTGTCATCACCTGGCGCAGTACAAATGTGAATTTTGTCAATATTAATGTTTTATGCTTTTATGGAATAAAGATTACTGTGGAACCATGATTGTTCGCGGGGGCCCAAAGTTCGTGGATTTCGAGAATCATCCTTACCCACGAAACTACATCCACACAAATTAAAACTTTGTCAACGTATCAATACAATAAATATTCTGTATTTATGAATTGCCCACGAAGTTACGTCCCCAGGAAACATGTAATTTTGGTTGTCCATGTACATTGACACAGATGAATTAAAATGATTCCTTAGTTTGCGATTTATAATTAATAAGAATTAAAAGATTTTCAAAGAATGAAGATTTTAAGGTTTATACGGATAGGAATTATAGAGTTTATGAGGATAAGGCTTATGAATGATAAGTATTCTAAGGGTTTTATGTTTGCATTTACATGTATCAGTGTGACTGAATATGACTCTGCAAGTTGTGAGATTTTAAAATATGCAGTTTTTTTCGACAGCAAATAGAAAAACAGACAGACTCAAAAATCCTTCGATCAGAAAAACTACTTGGGTCTTTGGTTTAGATGCACTTAAAACAAATTCATAAATTATAAAATTGTCATAAGCAGATTAACTTACTGGTTTATCTGCCACTTCACAATAGACGCCTTCATCTTGATGACTGAAGCATGGAGCTGACATTCCTTCAGCCGAACCTTTCTGTATATTATATGAGGCATTGCTGATGCCTTTGTTTCCTTCTTCTTTATTTTTATCGTTTCTTTGTGAAATATATAAGTGACACAATCCATTAACTATGTCCTAACTATAAAATGTGAAACTCTCGTCCACTTTCACTTATGAAACACATTTCAAAGAAGAACTATAGCACTTATTGAAAATACATTTAAAGCCTTTTAAAATTTATTTTGCTTAAACAACAGGGAAAAATCAAACTTTAGAATAATGAATAGAAACTCCTAATTTTTATATATATATTATTTTAATGTAATTCACTTCGGTAAAGTTTTACATAACCTCCATTTAGAAACAAAAGTTCCTTCAAAGAAATAATTTATATTTTTTCTAATTTACTGAGAAAAAAAATGAAAAAATAATAACTGTTAGACACAACCAATATACTTAAGAAAGAATAATGAAGAATTCAAACAAAATACCAAAAACATTCAACATGTTGAAGTAAAAGCACTTCGATACTTACAATGTGCGTTTAATTTTTTTCATAAAGAGTGCACAGTATAAGATTCCGGCACCAATCGCTGCTGCAACAAAATGTGTCAACACAAGAATACCTGCAAAAATAAATATACATAGGATGATAAAGGCAAAAATGGTCTTATTTAAAAAAGAATGGTGTTTTAAAACCATAGCAAAAAGGTGTAGGTATTATCTTTAAGTTTAATAGGTGTTTTTTATGTTGGCCACAAATTAAAATTTGAATGTTATTCTTTTTATTTTGCGACGAAGATGATATTGATATAATTAACATAATTATGTTTTTATGAGCTTTTACATGTAGCTTTATTTAATAGTTGATAGCTATTGACTGCTATATTAAACTAAAGCATTTGTTTACATAAAAGTCACTCCTGTTATGAAAGTTTTCTACTCTTACTGTTGAGTTTAGTTGTTCTAAAATAAACATAAATCTTGTCTCTAAAAATATATTCCGCAAATTTCAAAGTACAACACTTAAGGGGGAAAAATGATCTTTTCCTCTCGTGATATCACTATGGATATGAAGCAACATGGCAAAAAATTAAATCTATTACTAAACGAGGCGAACAAAACACATATAAGCTTTTCTTACGATGTAGAGCAAAATATGCTTACAGCATTACGATAACCACCGATTTGTGATTAAAGAATTATTTTGTTTGAATTTTACCAATCACAAGGCAATTTAACCAACAAAGTAAAAATCAGAAATAAGAAAAATATACCTGGTTTTGTACAACTATCAGGAAGGGTCCATGGCATTCTGCCATATCGCATTTTCTTCGTACACATCCTTATGTCTATTTCCTTTTGTGTAATGCCTAGGCCTGTATGATAAACAAAATTGTTGTCTTATTTGTCTATAAATTTTCAATAATCCAATTTCAATTGTAAAGAACCATTTGATTGTAAACCCATTTTTACTTAATGTCGTATAAACTGTGTTGCCTACGTCACAATGACGTGCGTAAAAACGTATCGATCCGCCTTAACATTCCATTTAAATTTTGCACAATATGAAGTCAGTTTCAAAGACCAATCATCTTTTTTACTTAAAGAAATGAATGAAAATTAAATTATAAGGAATAGGTTTACTAACTACCAAATTTATACCGTTTAGACTGGGTTTGAACAGTTAACCCTTTTTAATAAACCGCTTCGCGGTTTATTAAGCGAAAACTGACCCAACCAAATTTATACAGTTTGAATTTGGTGGCTATCAAATTCATTTCTAAATTAATTAGCATAAATCACATTCCCTGTTAAAGATTCAACAATCGCTATAGTACAAATGTTAAATCTAAAATGAACATTATGACAAGTAAATTCACTTTCCAATAAATGAAAATACAGTGTAGTAATAGAACCGCAGATTTCTGGATTCTCTATTTAAGTTTGTTGATTTTCCTTCACTTGATTTATTCGGAACAATAATTGTAATGTTTTAATGTTTTTTATTTCCATCATTCCATCACATATATTTCCATTTCACTATTGTAACTCACATCGCAAAAAAGTTGTCGACATTTCGAATGGTGTTTCTGATGCAGAAGCAATTTCATCATTTTCAATATCAGTCTCTTTTCTCTCCTCGTTTGAGCTCGAGGGATCATTATTACGTTTAGTAGTTTCATCATTGGAGGTTTTTGCTGAAAAGAAAAGTAATTAATTAAGAATTAAACTGATAAAAATTATGTGAATAGTATGCTTTAGTAAGTCAATGATTTAAGATAAGGTACGCATTATTCAAATAGTGTTGCTCAAAAATTAAACATTTATACGTTTATAGGAATATAATTTTGCATTGCTTATCTGAAACCCAATATCAAAATAATGTGAAAAGGGGCATAGGAAATCTTGACTGTATTTTAATGTTTCCCTGTCCGTGCAATTGAAATATGCATATGATAATTTGATATAATGTAAGAAAAATTCATAAGTAGAAACTTTTTTTTGATATTAAGGTTTTTCTTTATACTCCTATACATATGTTTTCAGCATGAATATTGATACAGTTTAACTAGTAGCTAAGGTTCTCGACAGCACCATCGTATCAGGGGTATGTAAAACAGGAGTACGTCCACAGGAGAATCGAACACTTGGCTCATTTGTATCATAGCAGATATGGCTGGCTTTCTTCTCAACAGGAGTAAACTTACTTAACATAGTTCCATTGTGGCAGTTCAGATAAGATTTGTTTTTCTTATCAAGAAAACAATATGACTTCAAGCTAACAATGCATTCTTCTTCATCCACAATGACCGTAGTATTCCAAGATAAGGAAATACTGAAGTTAGACAGAGATCCCATTTCTTTGGACTGCAATTTTTTGTTGCAAACTGCATATTTACCACACTCTGCAGCAGATAATCAACAGAAAATATTAAGTATTTCTGAATCTTTTTTGTCGATGGCATACATATTTTTATATGCTTTAACAATTTAAATAACTTAAAAGATAAAAGAAACCAGATAAAATGGATATATCATTAGAGGTATAGAAAGGATTTCTGTAAAGTGATTTTCGTCACACATTTAATTTCAGCTGAAACGTCCGACCTTATCAATGAGCTGATACCAACCTCCATGCAAACTAACATTGTAGGGAAAAACTGAAGCATAAGATTTCTTCCATATTTCTGCCACATCTTTAAATGCTTTGTTTATTTCTTTCGCAAGTCTTTAATAATATAAAAGACAAACATATTTCGGCTTAAAATATTATGATATTAATCATATATTCATATAAGTAAATAAAACGAAATAGAATTTAGGTATTTATTTTCTTAGGCACTTTAAGTTATACTTTTTATCTTTCGTAGTATCCCCTGCTTCCATTAGAATGATCACATCTATGAAAAGAAATATAAAATAAATAAAAAGAAAGAAAACATACGGTTAAACTAAATATTTCATAAATGCTAATATTCAAAACTTACAAAGTAATAACTCCAAACAAATTTGTCTTGTGTATATCATGATGGTCCTCTTCTAAATAAAACAAGCCGTGTATTTTTCAAAATTCCCAGTTTCCTTCCTGTTATTGAACAAGGCATATCTTTAATACGCTTATATAAAATTATGTTTGTACAGTGTTGCATAGAAATAAAATTTAAAAAGAAGGAAATCAAATAAACTTAATAAAAAAAATGATAAATTTAAAAATTTTTTATCGAAAACAAGTGCAGTATGATCAATCATAATACATATGATTAAAAGATGATAATTATATTGTTTTGTCGCAATTAAAAAGTGTTTGGTAAGGATTAAGTTCAACAAAATCAATTTATGAAGGCAAAAGGTTACAAGTATATAAAAACAATTGGTAAAGATAGTAATGTAAGGGCTTCAAATGTTTAAATCTGTAGATGAATAATACGGAAGCCCAATAGTGCAAACCAAAAAAAGTTAGAAAGCAAAAAAAAGAAATTATCAAATAAAGAAAACGAAATTATTAAATAAAGAAAACAAAATTATTAAATAATAAAGAAAGAGAAATTATTAAATTAAATAAACGAAATCACTAAATAAAAAACGAAATTATTAAATAAAGAAAACGAAATTATCAAATAAAGAAAACGAAATAATTAAATAAAGAAAACAAAAATTATTAAATAAAGAAAACGAAATTATTAAATAAAAAACGAAATTATTAAATAAAGAAAACGAAATTATTAAATAAAGAAAACGAAATTATTAAATAAAGAAAAGGAAACTATAAAATAAAAAACAAACGAAATTATTAAATAAAGAAATCGAAATTTTTAGATAAAAAAACGAAATAATAAGGAAAAAGTGCTGTCATCTACAGGACCCATTTCTTTGAACTGCAATTTTTTCTTGCACGGAAAAACTGAAGCACAAGATGTTTTCCATATATCTGTCACCTCCCTAAATGTCATATCTACTTTATTCTTAAGTCTTTTATAAAGACAAATATATTTAGGCTTAAAGCAACAGTAGGGATCAAATATTCATATGAATAAAAGTAACGAAAACAAATTATGTGAATGTTATATCAGACACTTTTAAGCTTTACCATACTCTTCATCATCCTTAGTTTACTTTGCTTCCATCAGAATGATCATGTCCATAAAAAGAAATATAAAATAAATTTAAAAAAAAAAACATATTCACGATAAAACCTAAAGTAATAATTCTAAACAAATATGTCTGGTATATTCCATGATGTTCCACTTCTAAATAAAACAAGCTGTGTCTATTTCAACCTTCCCAGTTTCCTTCCTGTTATTAAATAATGCATATCCTTAATACGCTTATATGGAATTATGTTTGTAAAATGTTGCATAGGAAACAAAAAAGGAAATGAAATGAATTTATCATAAACAAGTGCAGAATAAGGATACATATGATTAAAAGATAATTGTTTTGTCTCAGATAAAATGAAGTGTTCGGTGAGGACCAATGGCAACAAAATCAGTAAATTAAGACAAAAGGTTACTAGTATATAAAAACGATTGGTAAAGGTAATATTTTGTAAGTGTATAAAATGTTTAAATCTGTATCTGAATAATGATAAATTAAAAAAAAAATATCTTGACTTTTCTTACCTTATGTAGGAAATTGATAGAGAATTTTAAAATATTATCCAGTGTATCGATCCTTGAAATGTTATTTCCTTGAAGCTCAAACATGTGCGTAAATTTTATATGCTGTATTTCGAATTCCTAGATATAAATAATTGTGTAATGTAAGCTATTTTATGAATTAAAATTGGAAATAGTTATTCTATACGACATAGAATACCATCAAGCTATATCAATAATAAATTAGCGGTTTTCACCTATCTAGCAAAGTTTCAGAAATCCTAATTACATTAATCACAGCTCAGATAAATGTTCTTTTTTAATAAGGTGAAGCGAGATAACACTGACACCTTCAAAAATGCCTGTTGAAGTGTGTACGCAAATTAAGTGATTGATTGATTTGTATGTTGTTAAATGTCCCATTCGATAATTTTTTGTGTATGAGGTGACGTCACCTGTAGGTGAAGTGCCATAAATTTTACCTCTGTTTGACTCTTACGGCTGTAGCAGTGATGGTTCTTTATTGTGCCTCCGCCCAGGTGCTCCGTGACTTGGGACCTTTTTAAGGACACATCCCGAGGATCAACGTCTTTGACTTAGCAAAAGAACACTCAATACTTGTGTTTAATGTCTTACGTATGAAGGGGAGCCAATGTCTTAGAGTAAACCTTCCTGATAGTCTAGAATCCTCTCAGAAGATTTATTTTTTAGTAAACATCCCCTTGTAGGGGTTTAATATATCGTATTTATTCCTGCGTAATAAACTCTCTCATCTAACCAAAAACGGATTTTATGAATATGTGTTCAATTAGGAATACATGCTTTAGTTATTATCTTCATCTATGTGTTAAATAAGAAGTGTGAGTTTCTTTTATGTGAAATCACTGCTTACCAAAACACTGTTCTCAAGTCCAATAAATTTATCTTTAAGGAAGCTGTAAACACTGATCTAAAATGTTTTAGACAATGAGAAACTCAGATTAAATAAAGGTGTACATAAGATGCAAGATCCTCCCGTGGAAAATCATATTCAGTTTCTTGGTATTTTAAGCGACTCCAGTCCTTTTCACTTTTATATCTACATGACTTCTAAATACATATGAAATATGAGATCCGCACCTGTGCACCTATGTTATTGACTTGTGTTGACAATATCCATAGTCACCTATTTTAGACCGCTGTACGCTAAATGAAAAAAATGGGCAATTGCATGAGGACATTAATTTGATACGCTCTTAATTCAAACAAATATAAAAAGAAAAGATATTTCTGTTACTTGTGCCCTAAAAATAAAAGATTTTGAGACACTTGTCATATCACGAAAGCTTTCGAACGATTTGAATATATAGCGCTCCTTTCATCAATGTTCAGAAAATGTTTTCAATAAAGCAATTGAGGCTTTTAGAATTCTAAACTTTGAATTGATATCGACCGTGCTTCAGAATCATATTGGAATTGGAAATTAGATATTTTTGGATATTTGACGTAAAATCTTGAAACTCAAAATGAAAAGAAGTGTTTTGTTATCTAAAATTTGATTCTTTGAATCAAAATTCTAAAGAGCTAAAGCCACGAACCATCATATTTGGCCCTGTGTTTTTCACAAAAATAAAGTTTCGGTTCAAGAAGAGTACTATACGTTAAATATTAGAGGACAACATTCTTCTTTTCCATACATAACTTATATCGTTATATAATGCGCCATTAAACACGTGCGACGGTTGGAAAATGCGACGGTTTCATAAAAACGTTAAAAAATGCCGTTTTTTCGACAGATTTTCCCAAAGTTAGATGTGGCCACTGTCAATAACAACTTTCATACTTCCCATAGATATAGATATTACCGATACAAATCTTTATGTTTAATATCGTTGTTGTTCGTGGCTGTGGCCAATATGAAATTTGATTTTATATTTAAATTTTGATGGATCAAATAATCATTAATTTGTAGATCAATCGTTTACATTCAATTCATGTAATAATAAAAAAAATATAAATTTCACAAAATATGCTAGATAATCAGTAAATTGTTCATTTAAAACGCTAATTGTGAAAAATAGTCAACTACATACATTTTCTGAAATAAATGTCTGGAAAAACTTTGTGGTTTTTACTATGACTAGGTCATTATGTATGACGTTACTAGTAATACGTCAGTTGTGACGTCATAAAAGTTGTAAATTATTTGGGATGTTGCTGAAAAGCTTTTAACGCTCTAGATAGTGCCCCTACATGTATTTACATGTATATGATTTAATTGCATGTAAACCCAACTGGAGATACATGTACCATCAAATTATAAGTTATCAGAAATTCCCGCCACGGTGTCTTTCTTTACTACCCCTCCCCCTCCCCTCCCTGAAATAATTCAAAATACTGTTGTTAATAGTGTTATCAGGCATGACTTAAATTGTAAACAAATTAATAGAGAGTGTAGCAGAGATATCACGCTATACCTTTTTAAAACAAGCGAAATAATAATGATCTGGGTTGCTGTCCAAAGTGAAAATTTAAAAAAAAAATGAAAAAAAAGGAATGAAAAAAATACCCATTAAAATAATCATCTGCATTTCCGCACCGAAATCCACCTTTTTTATGTACATGCAGAAGAATCATCTCAGTTGATTAACAAAATTCAGTTATATCCATGGCTTATACATGCTGATACGAAATAATGTATAGTTATTGTATACAGTCATGTGAGCACCGGTATCGGGTTTCGTCAAAACACTTGCACATGACGATCCCGCGCCCGTGATCAAAAACAGAAGAATATATCGGTATATTTTAAATATGTCTGTAATTATTAAAATCGAAGTGAGGCTATTGATGCATATGTACATAAAACCCGATCTTGTCATCCATTGTGAAACATAATTCAAATATACCCCCAGTGAGTAAAATTGCATTAAATGCATGTCGTATGTCTTAGACATCAGTATAAAATGTTTATGCATTTTTTGTACTGTGCTCCAAATATTTCATTGTAACTAACACAATTTAATTATTAGTATAGTTATGCTTCAGATCGTCAGTCAGTGAAAGGGTAGTGATTATAGGTCTATTTAGACAAAACATAAATTAAATAAATAAGTACACTACATATGATTTACCCAAAGTTTTTATCCGTCATCATCTCTTCATTGCAACTTTATTAGTATACGGTTTTATCTAAGAATTCAGCGATGTGAAAACACATGGAGAGAGAGAGAGAGAGAGAGAGATATCTTAGAATGTTTTAAAAAACAAATCAATAAAACGGGAATATGTTCTTTAAAACGTATGGTCGTAAGTTGTTTATAGCTAGATTTTTTTAAACCCAACGAAGTAGATTTTTTTTTTTGGATAATAATTTTTAATCTTTTTTTAATCTATTGTCAGCTTATTCTGGTTAGTACACTTGTACCTCCTCCCTCAGTATAAACTATTAGTATCATAATATGTAGAATGGTA